TTTATTTTCTCGGAATGTAAATTAATGTGACTTTTGTTCTCGCTTACCGTTCCGTTTCTCTCAAAATTTCGGAACGCACACTTGAGAAATAAAGCGCGAGTCATCTCTTCTTTTTCTCTCGAACGGAAAAGCCCGAGACCACGTATAGATGTACAGAATTCGCTTCGCTAGAGTTTTCGGTACTCCTCGTAACTGGCGACGCGATGCAAACAAAAAGACGATGCAGTTCCATTTCGCGCGCGCGATCCACCGCTGCAGTAGACTGCGATGATTGACACAACTCGTGCTTCGATCAGAAAAATACTGTACGACTGCTCGTACCCCGCGTCCGATCGACGCACGACTCTTGCAAGTCGTCACGAGGGAGGTAGCGACAATTATAACGAATGTAAACCATATGTGCGCATATCGGTTATTAATCGAGAATGACCGGGAGCGGCGCGTTCTATTAATAAACGCGAGATCATTTCAGGAGCGCCATTTCGGAGGCGGTTAATTGAGATGGATATTGAATCGCCGGCGCGTCATATTTCCGTCGGGCTCATTGCCGCCTCTGATGTCGTCCAGATACATCCATACAATCAGCCGTATCGTACGGGCCGTATGTACGGTAACGGTAAATTTGAAATCGGCCAAATCGCCCGCAGACAATGGCGAAACAAATTTCGCCCATTAGCAGCCGACGGAGGATACGTGTCACGCTGCAGTTGTCGTCAATACAAATATCTGCTCTCGCGAGATGCGCATCCATATTCGTAGTCCCCCTTCCCTCCCCCAATACGAACGCATATACGCTTGCGCGCGCATACGGTACATGGTATGCGTGCGTGTGTGCACGGAAAAAAGCTCGAATTTATTCCGCAAAATCGCGCGACGCAAGTCCGGATATACGTGCGCATACCGGCTGCAAATATGACGCGATGCGCACAGATTACGGGCCGGAAATTACTACGGGATCGGACATCCCGGATTTATATTCGTATATCATGAACGCGGCGGTACGGGAAGTAACTCGTCGGCGAAGTCGTCTGCGGCGATTCGGAAATTCATTCGTCCGCTTCGAGCGAATTCCTACCGCGCGGTTCCTTCCAGCTCTGTTTGCCTCTGCGAGCTTTTCTCGGAGGAGCGGGGAGGGAGGTCGTCGGATTTTTACACGGCCGCACACAGGAGAACTCACGTGGACAGATGGATGCGCGGAACGTCAGGCGGTACAGAATAAGAAAGCGAGAGCACCGGCAACTACCGCACGCGCACACGTCACCTCTGACACGTACGTAATTGCTAGATTCGGAGCGCGCAAAAAAAAAAAAGTGAAAACACGAATCGAGAGCCGGTAACGAAAACAGCTGTTACCTGGGTCGCGGATTCCCAGAGTGAGCTCTCTCTCTCTCTCTCTCTCGATCGCGCTACCGCAGCCGGAACGGAGGACAACGATGTAGAAGGGACGTGCGCCGTCGGATTTAAATATAATAACCCCCGGCGATCGTGGCGGAAAATATTTTCGAGAAACAATTTCATACATCTGGAGATCCTCCCGCGTGTTTCCAAGGCCTGCATCAATAGCCTTTACATGAAGCTTATCTCATGTGAGATACTCGGATTTGATTTTAAAATTAGATCTTCGAGCTTTTCAGTTGGATCATGCGCAGTTGACACACGCGACATTATATCTGTAATCATGATAGTCGCGATATCAGATGATTGGAAAACTCGTGTCTAATTTTAAATTCAAATGAGAGGTATTTTCCTCGAGAGAAGTTTCATGTAACGTTTATTAATAGGAGTTTAAGAGATTCTTAGATTTCATTATATATATATATAATTATGTACCATACATGCTTATACACGGAAAAATGAATCTCAGTTCGTGTAACTGAAAAAACAACAAGATGAAAATTCATGACTCGGAGAAACGACATTTCTGTTATTTCTGCAATCGGAAATATTCGTTTGTTTAAAAACTTGGTTGAGATAACCAGGATTGGTTAATTTTTATTTTTAACTAAGTTAAGTTAAAAATTAACTTAATAAAGTTAAAATATATTATATATATATATATATACTTTTTGCATAATTAATTATCGTATATTAAATCATATATTAAATATATATGCTGAATTAAAAAAAATTGTTCATTATAAAAAAACACCGACTGTTTGTACTCAAGATTCCATACAAAAATAGAACATATTCCTCCCCCTCTCTCTCTCTCTCTAGCGCTTAAAGGGATACAAAATATTCTGGCATTATTCTTGATTTTCTTTATTCTATATTGTAAGAAGTTCACATTGATTTTAATGTTAATTTACTTTATCTTAACTGATTATTTCGATTTACTGATTTTAATATTGAATTATTTTAACTTATATAAAAAAGTAATGAGTTAAAATTAACGCATTTTAAATTAACTAGTTTAACTTAAAAGTCAACTCGTTTAAAATTAAATAAGTCAAGTTAAAAATTATTAACTTTTAACTGGATAACTGATTGTTACCCAACCTTGGAGATAACTGATAAGGAAAAGAGCAGAACTATTCTTCGCCGATTTTCATGAATATATTATAAAGCAATAGAACATATTAAATTCATTGATGTGTTTATCTCGTCCTATATTTCTTATATATATAGTATAATATTTCTTATATATTTTGTCTATTCAGACTGCCATTTTTAAAACGAACTGAAACATGATGAGTTTCTTGTGTTTTCTTCGCTGTTACAAACGTCAATAAAAAATAACATTATGAGTTACTACTGAGTTTGCTTCTCTCTTATTAATTATTAAATTTAAATTGTCACAAGGCCCATTTCACGATAAAATTGTCTTAAACAACGACCTGCACATAAATACATTCGCGTTTGACCTACAAGCTTGCTCAAATAACTAGTCAACATCTTGTATAATGTTTATCGATTATCGCAAATACTTTACATTATGTGATATATACGTATAATATTCATTAATCTATTTACATACAGAGTGTTCGCGCACGAAGCCGCGAACGAAGAGCCTAAGCTTTATGTACGCAACTCGCGGCGGCGGTATTTCTGCACGCTAAATAACAAGTTGTATACACTCGGCCCAATCACGTATTACCCCGTATCCTGTGGATCGCTTCGTACTTCGACAGTCCGACGGCGCGCCTTTATACCAGGTGGGCTGAACTACACGAGTCATCGGAAACAACACATTCGATTGTAATTACGTGGCGCAATTCCAGTAATTTTTAACAATGACACACGATATCCCCGATGTGATCAAAATTCATATCCTGTTATACGGGAATACATAAAACGATTTTCAGATCACAAAACACAAAGGAAATCTAAATTATTCTCGGTACTATTCTTCCCATGAAAATTGTAATAGTACAAAAGTGCTCCAAAAAATCCATTTCCATCATAATAGCATCTTTATTACCATCCGCCATGTTGCCATACTTGAACGTGGGAAATATTAGCCGTGCGATTAATGAACTTCAATCGTTTATAATTGAAAAATTATTGTAGTCTCGCACCACTTTTGTGCTTGAACTTTCGTCAGAGAATGTCCCAGAAAATTTGTCGAAAATGTTAAGGATTTACAGTGGTCCCGGGACACCCGGTATACACGTTTATGTAACTGCACGTACGACGCGGCCCGCGCTGCCTCGAATTTTCAATCCGCGCTCGCCAAGGCACGTCCGAACGATACCCTCCCCCCTCCCCTCAGTCTACGAGGAGCGACGACAGGTCCGGATCGTTATCGGTATCGGGATATATCCATCGATGGATCAACCACCGATAGATAGCCGGCGGAAAGGCAAGCCGCTCGCACGGGGGGATGAGCATTTCGCGTTCGCATACGTGTGCATCGGTGCGCGCGATTCACGGGACGACGGTGTAATAGACGATGTAATCGGCATCCTATGCGTGTAGCGCCGTGTACATACAATGGATTGTCTAATGCGGAACATGTGTTAGGTGATCGAATTCTGATGCGCGAATTTCAGCATTGAGAGAGAGAGAGAGCAGCGGCGCTTTTTCCTCCGCCCCCCCCCTCTCTTCCCCCGCTGCTATTGTTATACCGACTGAATATTTAGGGGTGATTCTTCGTGCGGTTTAATCGGGATCCGTGCTGAGCGCGCCGTAAATTCGGTATGAACGGCCGCTGAAATTTTAATTTTAATTTTGGAGACGGAATCGATTCGCGCGCTCGAAACATTTACATGATATTTTGTATATATTTGCACGCGCAAATACACAGGGTGTCCCGGTAACCAAGAGGAACAAGCTTCATGAGGGCGTAATACGAATTGAGGTGAACAAAAAAATACTCTGCCATTTTGCAAACAGCACGCAATTATAGTTTTATTAAGTATAATATACGGTATAAAGTTAGTATATAGGTAAATGATATTCTAAACTTTTTTCTTAAATATTAACAATGTACAATGTTTCTGAATGTAACCTTAAAATACAATAATTATAAAAATTAAAGACTAAATGACTAAAGAATATAAAAAATTTTTTCCGTGTTTCCATTACAATGTGTACTTTTTTAATATATTAATAATGCAAGCTTGACTTAAAATTAGGGTTCAATCGATAAATGGGATTGTTACTTTATATGACATTTGTCCCTGTTGGTCTGAGACACCCTGTACGTACTTACTATTCTTACACACATATGTAATACGATCGTCGATCGGTGTTATTAGTAAAATATTCAATCTCAGCAAAATTGTTCTTTATATGCGTATAAGTGAAAATACGCGATGTCCATTAATTATCGTATCGCTGTAAGACAGCGATTAAAGAAATTAAAGCGAGTGCGCTGCAAATTCACACAATGCGTTCGCGATTCTCTGAACGTGTCCGCCTATCGAATCAATCTTCGTATCGCGATGACAGCTTATGTCTTCTTGGGAGGAAAAAATTGACGCGCGTCGTAACGATTTTCCGGAGCTCTGTATCAGATCTTTCGGAAAGTAGGTAAGACAAGAAATACTTCGTGCGTCAACATTTTATATCAACGGTTTATTAATCAAGAGTTCAATCACCGTGTTCTCTTCAATCTTGGTATATACAGTCACCTGAGAAAATCGAGTTTATCGCAAGTACAAAACAAACTTTCACTGCTTTCTCTTCCCTTTCATTTGCATCCTTCGACTCTTTCCCAATCTTTGATTTCCGCCTTTCCCCTTCGTCCCTCGTTTTCCAGGTTTCTGCGGCCGTTTGTACTCCGAAATATCGGCGGAGCTGCTCTTCGTGTTTCTCTTGCTGCCACGTTTCTTACCTCCGAAACCGTACTTAGCATCTTTCATTTTCCCCTTCAGTTGCACCTTCAGGTTGTTCTTACGATTCGGCTGTTTCTGCTGCGGTTTCTTCTTGTCCTCCAGAAAATCGAGATCCTGCCGCACACCCTTGCGATACTTCTTAACCTCTTCGAGCATCTTCTTCTTCTCGGCTTGCTTCTTCAATGTAGCTTCAACCTGCATCTGCTTGCCTATCTTCCTCTGCTGCCTCAGTTGCCTGACTTTTTCCGATCTCTGTATGATTACTTGCTTCTTCATCAAATTATCCCTTACCTTCTGCATGTGTTCGTCAGTCTTTGCCATCTCTGCAAAGTAGTCGTCTGGCCTGAGCGTCAGTACTCCCAATTTCTTCAATCTAGCTATACCATCCATAACGGCTCCTTGAGCCTGACGGTGAAACATGGTCTCCCTGCGAAAATCGTTCAGAACAGGATCCTGAGACGGTTCGTACTGAGGCAGCTTTTGGTTCCCCTTCAGTTGCTTGGCGCGTCTCACTTCTTGTTCCTGCATCTGCAGTGCTAGCTCTGGTGCTAACGGTGCTGGTGCGTTTACCATGTCCAGCCTCTCGATCCATGGCAAATCCAGCTTTATCTCACTCAATTTTTGCTTCATGAGATTCTACAAGTTATACACAGAGGAGGTTGGGTTAAGCTGAATTGAAAAATACATCATAATACATGACGACAAAATTATCACTTACGACATAATTCTTGGGCTGCTTCTTTTCGATCGCGACATTGAGACCCGGCTTCAGCAAGCCTTTCGTAAACGCCTCTTGCAGCTGGCCATGTGAATAGAAGGTTAGAATAGCTTAAAACGTATATAATGTATGGACAAACGTGAACAGAAATCGTAATACTTTACCTCTTCGTCGGATGAATTGTACTCTGAATCTGATGACATTGCGAATAATTCTTCGATACTCTTAATTCAGCGGCACAAAAATTCCGCACGTGAAAATAATATACACTTGTCACACGGTAAATGCAAACGCAACGGCGTGAATGCCTGTGGCGTCACGCGGCGGACAAAAACAGAAGTTACTCGATAGGTTAGCGACGGTTAAACAAAAACGAAAAGGTTATCTGCCGATATATTCCTATAATTTCTTTTCTTTTATTAAATGTCACATCATAATTGTGCATGTGATTATCGATGTCAGAGAAATTTTAATTTATAGAATGTACAAAGTCTTTTCGTCCTTTATACTACGTCTTTATTTTTCGATTCTTATTGAAGGATGCGTTCCACCTAATGCTCGCAACGATCGCATCATTTTATTCTTGTTTCTCTCGGATGTTAAACGAAGACAGAAGGATGCTCGCTATCGTTGCAAGTATTAAATGGAACGCTCCCTAAAACAATGTTTTCTTTTTCTCTCTTTCTCCCCTCCCCCTCCCTCTCTCTTTCTCTTACTCTCACTTTCTCTCTCTCTCTCTCTCTCTCTCTCATATATATATTATATATTCTAGGAAAAATGAATTTGTAGAATAGAAAATACGTCTCGATACGTGAGAATCGTCGATGCATTATTCAGTGTATTCATGTCGACTGAACTGGTTGCACTTGGTGCAAGGAATTCGCGCCTAAGCGTGATAATCTCGTATGTATGCTTCGATATGTACATTTCTTAAATCACTACAGCCAGTTCGGCTAAAAAGAACGGAGCAAATGATTGGAGTCGCTTTACTCGCTTACCGTCTTCCCGCGACGGCTGCAAGTCGGCCATTACAGAAAACCGTTAGAACTTTCGAACACTCCGCACCACCCACTGATGATGGTCCGCGATCGCCCAGATGAGCGAGTACGCGAGTATCGATGAATATCCTGTCGCACCAGCATGCGATAATCACTTTCGGCACTCCGGACGAGTAATTAGCACGCGAAGCCAGCCGAAATCGCGAATATGAGCACCAGCTCTTCGAACCCGAACCGACCGCGTCATCACTCGGTAGTGAACTGAACATTGCCGCGATTGAGATTCTCGAAGTATACCGATACGCCCCAATCGGTCGATTCGTTTAACTCTCAGAAAATCAAACCCGTGGATAACCGCAGAGTATCGATGTTATCGACTATTTCGACACTGCATTTGATATGAATATTTAGGCACATGTTAGCCACCGAAATATATTAACGGTCGTGTGAAGCGTCTCCCGCGTTCACTTGGTTGCACTTGGTGCAAGGAATTCACGCCGAAGCGTGAGAATGTCGTATATACGCTTCGTGCGCTTCAATATGTACATTTCTTAAATTATTGCAGCCAATTCGGCTAAAAAGAACGAAGCAAATGATTGGAGTCGCGCTTTACTCGCTTACCGATTCTTCCCGCGACGGTTGCAGGTCGGCCATTACCGAAAGACGTTAGAACTTTCGAACACTCCGCACCACCCACTGATGATGGTCCGCGATCGCCCAGATGAGCGAGTACGCGAGTATCGATGAATATCCTGTCGCACCAGCATGCGATAATCACTTTCGGCACTCCGGACGAGTAATTAGCACGCGAAGCCAGCCGAAATCGCGAATATGAGCACCAGCTCTTCGAACCCGAACCGACCGCGTCATCACTCGGTAGTGAACTGAACATTGCCGCGATTGAGATTCTCGAAGTATACCGATACGCCCCAATCGGTCGATTCGTTTAACTCTCAGAAAATCAAACCCGTGGATAACCGCAGAGTATCGATGTTATCGACTATTTCGACACTGCATTTGATATGAATATTTAGGCACATGTTAGCCACCGAAATATATTAACGGTCGTGTGAAGCGTCTCCCGCGTTCACAGGTCGTCCGGTGGAGATTTCATTCCCGTCAGCCACTTCGTATTCATTCGTATTGAAAACTGTCCAAGAAGCAGATTGTATACTTTAGAATGACCTATCTAGCTTTAATAATTTACTGATCGAACGTTACGACGAGTTCACTCACCGTGTGAGACGGTGGAAGAGAGATATCACGGCGTTTTTCGTTTCCGATCGAATTTCATTTTCTATTTTGCCGTGTCACGTGACGCGTTGCGTCCTTATTGGCATCGGCGGTGACCGACAATGACAGCGACGCGCCTGGTAACGCGAGTAGCCGTGTTACAGCGCCGGGTAGCGATCGCCGATTGGCTGGCCGCGCGAACATGGAGACCAATCGGCCAATCGTAGCTCGCCGTCCCGCTTCGGTCCGCGGGACGCCGTATGCGCAGAAATCCCGTCTCCGGCTCTCCTGTCTGACATATATTATGCTCGATGCTAGGATTTTCCGTCGCAGCTGGCTGATAACGGCGCAACATCATGGCGGTTAGCGACAAGAAGCCGATGTCACGTCTAATGAAACTCGCCAACAAATTCAATTGCTTCTACCTGTCAGGTAAGTGGAGGCGGCGAGCTGTGCTCCGGCTATTCCGTATCGTCTCAATCGACGCGTCTGCCGGCCGTATGATCGATAGGACTACCATCCGTACCGAACCACCGAGAATATTGATTTCGAGTGTGTTGTGTATGCATCCGTCATTCGGCGTTTCCGTTCGAAATTCGACGAGTGAAGTTCCCCGTCGGCGGGCCTCGCGTGCGATTAACGGCGGGTCGCGTGTGCTCCTCCCCGTTTTCTCACGTCGTCGCCACCACGTTACGAGCCTCTCCCGAAAAGCAGCGATCCCGGCGATGCGGTCCCGAACTTTCTTTTTGTCAAGACGCACACAATCGACGTTCTCTTCAGGGCCGAAAGACCATTGTTGTCCCCGCGGGAGATGTTGATGTATAGTATATTCTCGAACGTGGTGTCCGATTAATTCAATCCGTATTCGGGGAATAGAATTTCGAAATGCTTATGAATTTATCGTTTGATGCGTGTTACTCCTAAACAAAAATATATCACATTATCGGGTAAATCGAGTTTTATACATGTTTTGTGTTTGTTGTCTGTGTGAGCCATGGATATTAATATTGAGCAACATTCTAGAATCGTGGTATTATATTTATACAAATTGTATAAGTGTATCTTATTCTTTAGGTTTTCATGCAGGAGAATGCAGAGCATTTGTCGTCGATGGACAACAAGTTGGCCTTGTACGTCCAGATGTAATGAAGGAAATATTGAATTATCCTCAAGTAAGTTGGTCCACTTTGTCCTCCTTAATCAATATATCGGTTACTAGAGTCGTACATGTGTGATGCACCACTCTCTCACAAAAAATTCAAGTTACATGTGACATATATATATATATATGTACATATGGTAGTGATAATTTTTTTTCTATGTCTGCATAAATAAACCAAGTCTGTCTTGCACTATTGTATATAAAAAAATATAGGGTAGGCTGTATGGGGTTGGTTTTCCAAAATGTATTAATTAATGACTGCGTTCAAGAGACATAATGGTTGAGTGAACGCTCATTGTCATTGGAATATTCCTTTAGATTTACCACGAATCTTAAAGAATATCTCAATCAAAGGTGATAATCGACTGTGCAACCGTTGTATTTCCTGAACTATACTTATTTACGCAATTGTATTCATACAACGTGTCATTAATCTCGAAGGTATTCCAAGTACAACCCGAATACGTGCAGTTGAATCCAGCTTTTCGAGATTACGCTGAGAGAAGCGCACATGTCGATGAGGTATTGAGGGAATGGAAAGCAGGCGGGAAATTTATAACGCTACGCGGTTGGAGGGACGAATGTCACGAGGTTCGGGCTCAATTTAACACAATCTCGTTGCTTAAGATGGATCGCTCGGCTACGTGTATGTACAAAAATTAATTACGCGTTTATATCATATAATTATACGTATAATGATAGTCGACTAACAATAACCATAAAAATAACAGGCTTATTTGGAATCCGGAAGTACGGTGTGGACATAAACGGTTACGTAATGGATCCTGTCAAGGGCTTGTCAATATGGTTACAAAAACGTAGTCCGAACAAACAAACGTGGCCGGCGTACTGGGACAGCATGGTGAGCGGCGGCTTAACCGTTGGCTATGGCATAAACGAGACCGCGATAAAGGAGGCATTCGAGGAAGCTGGAATCCCAAATAATCTAATCGCCAAACTCAAGAGCGCCGGATGTGTTTCCTTCTTTTTTGAGAGCGAGAGAGGTCTGTTCCCCAACACGGAATTCGTATACGATCTTGAACTGCCGTCTGATTTCATACCGAGCAACAGCGACGGAGAAGTGGAAACCTTCGAGTTACTTCCCGTTAGTGAATGTTTAGAGAGGATACTCTCCCCGCACTTCAAGACCACGTCTGTACCGGTTGCCCTTGACTTCTTAATTAGACACGGATACATCACAGCAGAGAACGGTAAGATGAGTCGTTTTGTTTCGTATTAAATTTCATTCTCGCCGAAAATTCGCGCGATCATATTTATATATACACGGGAGCACATTACCATTAGTTAACGCTTAACTTGTTCGTACGCTTTTGTTGCAGAGCCTAACTTTATACAGATCGTGGAGTTACTTCACGTACCTCTGCAGACTATGTACAACTTTCCACACAAAGCGTGTAAAATAACAGCCAACGGTGAAGCGAATTATGGCGAAGCTTTATAAAGAATTTTATGTTTCCCTAGGCTTTTAATTTATACCGTGCTAAGGCTATGAAATCGAATGAAATGAATGAAGATTGTTCTTTCTCTCCGTTTTTCTCCGTTGAATGACTACATGTGCTGTTGCGAAATTGTTTCTTTAAAATGATACAGTTATGACACATGTAAGATTCAGAGAGAGCTTTTTATAAATTATTGGGCTATAGATAGAACGTTTTTATTACCGAGTTGGACATATTTTTTGCATTTATTCAAAGTTAACTTTAGTTGCATATCGTATTAACAACGAAAAAAAAGAGAAATACTTAATACGCTTTATTAACCGCATTGATCTTAAGATGTTTATGAGGTTTTTGTAACACGTTAACACCCCCCCCCTCCCCCGTCTATATATACAGTTTTGTGTGATTCGTGAAAGCAGAAAAAGACTACGCATTTTTACGTACTTTTTGTATATTGACTGATTATACCTCTAACTATAATGTAATTCAAATGATAGAACGAAATTTTAGAGATGATTTCTTCCACTTGAATACACGTCTTTCCCCCCCCCCCCNGACTGTATACAAACAATCGTGTTATATTAAGGTATTTTTTCAGTATAATCCGCATTTATTACATTAACACGACGAAATCGTATGCCAATTATATTAATATCGTGCTTGTCAACTGAACAGATGCATTGTAATAAAAGTTAATGGATAACGCGTTCAATGAAATTATGATAACCGAAAAGTATTATGAGAACACAGCATTCCAGTGAATAAACTCTACTACTAAGCTTGCGTTTAAGGAGCCGAGAAGTAAAACGTACTGTTTTCAAACGACTGTAAAACTTACCGTGCTTAAAGTCACCAGTGCAGGAATCTGGTAGTTTGCGTAACATTAAGATCGTCCGCAGTATTATGAAAGTAAAGATACATACGATGTACCATTTTGATACGTTGAGAAAAATTCATGGGATAATGTACTCGAAATATGTGTTCAACAGTATTTTATTGTTGGGAGCGCTCTTGAATATTTAGCGTATTTCTTTTCTTATTTAGTAGTATTTTTGTTTTAATGTGGGAACTCGTAAGCACTTAATTACTTTATATATATATATGTGTATATATATATATATATATATATATATATATATGTAATACTTTGGCATTTTATAATTCAAGTATTACGTACTTCTAATATGAAAATTCGAACACCATTTACGGCATTTACATGAGGACATCAATAACTGCACAAGTGAGAAGCACAAACTAACGACTAACGCAATCGTACATCTTTGTTCGCGCGTATTACTCTTATTTCAAGTAAGATCAATGTTATAATATAAGCAATCACATGGTTTTACATTCTTAAAGCGTTTTCAGATTAGCAAGAAACATTTTGGTATCGTCGCATTTTGAAAATACGTCGTATATATATTTTAATTGTACATAATATTTATTTATGATTGTCACTCTCCTCTTTTTCTTTTTTTTTCCTTTAACAAACCACAGTTTATCGAGTTGTGTATTGGACTAATTGCCGCTTTATACCAAGGCACCTTGATGAGAGCATCAGCGACTATTTGTTATTAACGCGATTCATGTGTGATATACTTTACATCGCATTTAAAGAAAGCAAATTGTTATATATACCTCATAAAGCAAATACTTATTCATATCGATTGATCTGTTAATGTTCTTGTTGAATTCATTATTACGAAAATCGCATTGAGTGTATGAGTGTGGAATGCAGCGTATCATGTATTTGTTACGATATTAATTATAATAATATCTCGTAATAAATCATCGCGTTTATATATACATTGCACAGAAAAAAGCACATACACACACACGCGCACACAACACACACACACATACACACACGAGCACTTGTACATGCCAAAACCGTAGTTTCACAAACGCATCCGATTCAAGAAATATGAATTTCGAAACACCGCGACTTTCGCGACTTTTGTACGATAAACGATGGAGTGTGTATCTCATATATAGAATAGTCATGTAATTTGGATCTTTTGAGGATTATAATTTTCATACTCGCGCGCGCACGTATGCCGATGAATTGACATTACAGCTACACCACCAATCGTTATTATCGGGATCGTCAGTTTAACAAATTTTGACAGTCAAGTCCGAAGAAACCGACTAACTAGCCGCGAAAAGTCTGCGTAAAGTAGATTTCATAAGTTTAATACTTTTGTAATAACGATAAAATGTAATAATATACTAGTCACGCTCATCTTTATCACTCTGCTGTCTCTTCTAACTGATTGATCGACGTTATCAAACGGTGACGTTTGTGATACACTTATTCTAAGTGAGACTTTTGTTCCCTCCCACGATTCTATTTTGTGATAGGGATCGATAGGACTGGTTTACACACATGTCTGTTGCATGAAATTGAAATAAGTGTTTACGTTACATGCCATACATATACGCCGATCTATCTATCGACGAGAAGGTTCCGACGAGGAAACAGCGAGGTATTGTTCGCGTTTGAAACGAGCGAGAGAGAGAGAGAGAGAGAGAGAGTTTACGGACCAATTAACCAGTGAAACTAATTTAATTTGCAACTTGTTACATACCGCAATGCAAATTCGCAAATTCAGTTTTGCATATGTGTACTATTGTGACTTTGAGTGATTATTGTATGTGATTATATAATACCAATTAACTTTGAGCGTATGCCGCTTAGCTTTTGTATCCTCTGTTGCAGCCTAAATAAGTATCGATTATAAGAAAGAAGGAAAACCATCTCGCGCGAGCCATTAAGACAAATCGACGCGAGGTCGATCTTTTCGCAAATTGTCACAATCGAATTAAAGAGCGCACTAAACACAGCTCGCGACCCAAGACAGGTGGCTTCGCCTCTGGACTTGACACGCGACAAAGCGAAGCTTTCTTGCGGTAGGTACGACCGATTGACGACGTCGAACTTGAATTCAGCGATTCTCTAGGATTCCTCGATATAACTTCAATTTGATTGTAATCACCATACTTTTGTGCAAGCCAATTTCAAATCTTACGGGATTTCATCGGGTTCATTCATTTTCAACTCAATAAGTAAAGAAATTCAGAGAGATTCTGCACAGTGTTCTTTTCTGTGCAATTATTCCGAATAAATTTTGATATGTTATGATAGTAGAAGTCGGTCGTGCCTAAAAGCCGAGTAAATAAGTAAAATAACAATCACGGAGAACAAGTGTTCTCGTCTCCCTGGAGAAAGATGCGTGACGTATACTCGTTACGCGCTAAATTCAGCGTGTCTTGAAGAATAAGAGATAACAACACGAACATTTATAATCACGAAATTAATGTCCCGGAGCAAACGATTGATTAATTTCTGGTTTAGCACGCAAAATTGCTTTTGAATTTCAAGATGAAGTACGAATCGTGACAGGAATATAATTTATTTCCCCCAAAATAACATTTAATGTATGCTTTGTGATGTCGTTACAACGGTACGACATATTTAAAATATACTCGTTTTAAGAAATACTCATTTACTATTAATTTTAATCAAAGTATTGACTTCTTATTGCTACAATTATTCCGGATTGATTGTGTGTGTTCTCTTTCGGACAAAATAAACAGCAATATTCATGATATCAGAATATGGCCGCAATATTGCCGCAATTTTCACGATACCAGATAATCTTTTATGTACCGGCAAAATACTTGTTGTGTGAGGATGCATCTTAACGTACTTATGCTAGTTATGATGCAGACAATGACTCTCTTTTATTATTTTTGAACAAATTTCATATATAATTTAGTATAATTATACATAGTTACGTATATTCATACACAATTATGTATGAAATCTTTTTCTAACGGAATATTTCCCAATCTAACGTTTCATCTCAGTTCATTTCATTTTGCCGCATAAGTTTGAAGCATTCAGCTTATTCGCGGGTTTTAAAGGGCGAGTGAGCGGCGGTAGATGGCGCAGATGCGCGTCGTGACGGCTGTTATTCACGCCCAAGCAATGAATCCATTCACGAAAATCATCAGCGGCGCGCCGATGGCGACCTCGCGGCGAGCTTAGCGAAGCAATGGCGGCCGAGCCCCGATGGTTTTCCGTTAAATGTCAAACGCCAGTGAAAATCGCGAAGTAGTGAATCGTCGGTGACAACCCGGTCGCAGAGATGGCTGCGAAGGAGCCGGACGCGATCGACGACGGCATTGCCGAGCCGGGGATCGAGCCCGGCGCCTCCACGGAGACGATGCTCGTCACCACCGACAGTTTCGACGAGTACGAGCAGGAGATGAGTAGTAGCATCGATGACAGGCAGATGAAGGAGAGCACCACCAGCACTATCTCCGAGATCCAGGAGGACGCCCGGGACATTCCGACGACACCCACCACCACCAGCCCACGGGAGCCGGAGAAAACCTTGCCCCTCGACGACTCGGAAATGGTGTGTTTTCATAACCTCTTTCGGCCGATAAGCGGTCTGTGAGAACTATTCTTTCATTATTGTCCGAGCGTCTGAGAAATGCCTCTGTTGAAATCTTTCAGGACGACGTGACGCACCGTCTGAGTCAGAGCAGCCTGGATGGAGATCCGTTGCACTGCAAGGCCTGGTTGGCGCAGAGGAAGCACATCTTCATCCTGAGTCAAGCTGGGAAGCCCATATATTCCCGATACTGCTCGGAGGACAAGCTAGTCACCCTTATGGGGGTCATGCAGGCTTTAGTGTCGTTCGTTCAAGACGGCAGCGACATGATTAGGTCGGTGCATGCCGGCAACACAAACTTTGTTTTCGTCGTTAAGGGTCCATTGATCTTAGTGGCGGTATCCAAGACCTTGGAGAGTGTACCTCAACTTACTTTACAGTTAACGTACGTGTTGGCGGTATTCTTGTTATGAGATCCTGTTTGAGCCTGTGTTTCTCATGTATTTCGCACAACCGTTTGCAGATATGTATATAATCAGATAATCTCTGTGTTGACACAGTCTCAACTGAACAGAGTATACGATCAGAGGAGGAACTTTGATTTGCGGAGATTATTAACTGGTAGCGAAAGACTGATAGATCATTTACTAAACTTTATGGATAGAGAGCCAGCTTTCTTTCTAGGGGCCATTAAATGTCTGCCCCTACTACCTTCTATGAGAAGTTCAATTACACAGACTATCATTCAAACGTGTGCTAAGATCAAGGTAAGAGAAAATCTCGCAGGGAACACTCGGAGGATCAGTGATCAGAATTGTTCGATTGAAGGCGGAAATTGTATCTTTCAGAATTTAGTGTTCGCGATACTTCTAGCTAACAACCAGCTGGTGACGCTAGTTAGGATGAACAAATTTTTCCTCCATCCAATGGATCTACATATAATACAGAATCTGGTGGACAGCTCGGAGTCGCTTAAAACCGCCGAGAGCTGGACACCGATATGTCTGCCGAAATTCGATCCGAACGGATACATGCACGGCCACGTGTCGTATCTGGCGGAGGATTGTCAGGCGTGCCTGTTGTTACTCACCGTCGATAGGGACGTGTTTTTCGTGTTATCGGAAGCCAAACAAGTAAGAGCGATTACGCAATACAATGTAAGCGTCGTAACGCGCGAGTAACGCGAAATGTTGCTTCTTCCAGAAAATCGTGGAGAAACTGCGACGGACCAATTGCTTAGAAGCGATCAACGAGTCCATGAATAAGCCGACGATCACAACCGCCGATATCGGGCTGCCCGAGATGCGGCACGTACTGTACAAGTGCAAGAGCACCGCTCAGTTTTGGAGCCCTGGGTTCCAGCCTCCTTACACTACGGACGAGGAAATAGAACGGTAAGATCGAGTGAGATGATTCCTCCGATAAAGATCACGACGCTAATGACGGAATCGTACGTTCATTTGCAGATTGCTAGGGCTCTATCAGTGTTTGCATCACAGATTGCACTCTCCTAATCGGCCGTTGAAGCTTATATTTCAGCAACTAGACAAAGAAACGATGTTGGCATGGGTAAGGGGGAAAAGTATTGTTGTTGGGTCACACGAGAGATTTTTCCTTCAAATCAAACGCATATTCTTTCCAGGTGGCTTCCGGCTTCGAATTATATGTAACTTTCGAGCCTCTAGTGACGAAACCAGACGCTATCGAGGCAGTGAGCAAGTTGTTGAAATGGATCAAGAAGGAGGAAGAGAGGCTGTTTATCTTGAATTCGCCTACGTTTTGAACGAATTGTCGGATATTACTTTTACGAGCATAGAGGAAGTGATACAGCGACAATGAGATGTGTAAGGATTAGAAGTGCCGAAAGACCACACGGAAACGTTGGAGATGTACTACAAAAGGAATTCCAAAGCAGAGCGTTTTCGCAATAATTCTCGAAGTGCAAGAATATAATTATTATTCGTCCATTGTTGGTAACAATGCCATTCACTATTTTTTTATTTAATAGAGCTGTTGTAATATAACGTAACTTTATAAAAATGTACATATACTTGAATATCTTGCAGAAACGCGCTCCTGATACATTGTACATCATAATTTTCACACCGAAGTCCTCCTCCTTTCGCACGGGCGCTAAATACATTCGGAGAACATTCTGAAAATAAGAAACACCAGGGAAAGTCGCTCGTTTATTTTCAATCATTCTTTCGTTTATCCCATTTTTCGTATATAAACAACGCTCGATAAGATCAGATTTCTCACATTTAAATAGTTCAATGTCTAGCTCTGTCCCGCTCCCTTCTCCGATCTCGGTCTCTCTCCCTTTCCCTGTCTCTTTCTCTCTCACGATCGTCCCTTCTGTGACGATCTCTGTCTCTTTCCTTATCCTTATGCGACGACGAGTGCGATTTCGGCGATTTACTGCGTTTACGCTCCCTCCTGTCTCTGTCTCTCTCCCTACTTCTCGACCTCTGCTTTTCCTTCTCAGATTTCTTCTCGGACCGAGAATGCCTCTTGTCTCTGTCCCTGTGACGATCTCTGTCGCGCTCGTGATCGTCCGGTCTTTTGCGCGGTACTTCTTTACTCGGTGGGATCTCTTCGTCCTCCGATGATTCAATGCCATCGTCCATGTCGTCCTCCAACGCTGATATTTTAGCCTCTAATGGATAAAAAGGCATGTGTAAAAATGGATATATATATCTCAAAAGGTGCATACACACATTAGAAATAACAAGTACATTAGCAGAGCACAATTACCCAGCTCATTATTCTCTTCTAGAACGTGTCTCTTTTGAATCCTCGGTAAGATAACATCGCAACTTCTTTCGTCCCTGAGAAGATTGTCAATGAACTCGTCCATGTGTATCAGTTCGTATAAGCCTTGTTTATTTTGCACTCTAAGTTTCCTGTTGTCGTTGAACAACGGCTCCAGATATTTGTAGCAATCCAAGGAAGAACCTGTCAATCTCATGTAAAGTGCACCCAAAGCCCGTACATATTTAAACTCTTCGTTCTTTATGAACTCGACTATAATGTCCTTCTCGGGTTGTATTTGCAGCATCTTTAGTATGAGGCAAAGAAATGGTGTTGGCTTCACATTGCCACCATACACTCCTCCTATAAATCTGAAAGGAGACAATAGATATGATTGACTCTAATATTGCGTAAAAATGATCCTTTCTTAAGTAAATATGAATATTTTAAGTTAAAAATCAAAAGAATTGTAGCCGGGAAAAATATCCACAAAGAGGTTATATTTTGCCACTTCTAACCTCAACTCCATCGCCTTGTCGACCAGCAATTCAGCTGTTAAAGCGAAACATTCTTCCTTCCAATATTTGGAGTCGTATATTCGAGATCTGATGATTTTTTCTACCAAATATTGCGGATTTGTTCCACGAATTGATTTAGCATCTTTTACTGTGCGGTTCGCCATTTTCGAATAACACTACGAATCTGTGTACAGAGCAACCTAAGAGCTGTCATGTCACATGGGTTTCTTGCCTTTCCAACGCGCCCTCTGAACAAATGGATATAAAGGATAAACTACAGCTTTTTTTAGCACTTTTAGCACTATCGGTTAAATCGTTTGGTTTGTGCCCGGCAATATGTCACAAAATTAAGATATAAACCTAGCTCTACTAAAATATATATTAGATGTGTGCAAAAGTTTGTCCTTTCGCAAGTTTCTAATCCCTCGTGTATATTATTTTGTATTATAACAACTTATGATATAAGACAAATTATAATATTAAGATTTTGTTTTCTTTCTCTTATATTAATATATTATAAATTATATCATATCGTTTAATATATTAGATATTAAATCTAACTATCAAAATATTCGTATAAACTATATACCATATATATAAGTAATTTTGACCATTGATATAAAAATATCCACGATAGATTTTATTTAAATATCTATCACAGGATATAGAATGTTGTACATCCATTAAATGACCATTTAACGTCTATCATAAAGTTTAATGGAGCTGTGAATATTTTCTTAATGGACGCTTAATGGAAATTGTGTTTGGTATGGGAAGAATATGTCACTTAACTTTTTTATTCTTAATAATTTACAAATGTGTTTATTTCTTCCGTTTCGCACAGTTATTTTTTTGTTTCATGCACTTTTCTCGAAGAGTATAATAGTAAATAATTATATAAATTTATTTATTTATTATGTATTATGTAAATTGTATAGTTGTGTACGTCTTGTGTACTTATTAACGTCTTTCGTCAACTTACCTCAGTAACCACAATGAAATATCGGCACTTTTACGCACGCTTTACACATTTCTACGGGAAAAAATGAAGAAAAGACCGCGAAGGGGGGAGCGAGGAATTTTGTTCGCGAGAGCAGGAACCTACGTCATGCAACTATAATATTTAGATAAAAAGGAATATAAAATACTTGAAATTTGTTATCAGCGAAATATATTTACAAGAACAATAATGCGAAAATACCCTATAACATAAGAGATACATTGCCCGGTATCCACTTTGTGAAGGACCCATGTTCCACCACAGCTTAAGAATAAAATCAACTCGTTACGTTGAGACAGAAAGATCGTGGCTTTAACAAAGCCCGTGTATAACGTGCCACCTTTTCGGTGTCACCTTTCTCTTCGCAGTCGCTCGGCGGGGACCGTAAGAGGCCATTCACGGCAAGCCCCTCTTTTCCGAGCCTTCTCTTCTTCAGCTCTCTCCCTCTCTCCTCCTCCTTCCATCCTTGTCACACACTCACCTGGCAACCTGAGCTCACCTGAACGGCCATCTTGAGCTGCACCGTCATATCGTGCTCCTCGTCTTTCTCCCGAGTCGCATTTTCCGCTCGTCCTTGTAAGCGGTCGCGTCGCATGCGCCGTTGCGTGTGCAAGCCTCGTCGCAGCGTAGTGATCGCCGGTAACGTTCGTCGCTCCAATCGTGCTACCACCTGGCTTGCTTTCTCCACCTTCGTGCATTCCTTCGAGGCCCTGTGTCGCCGGTGACGTCACTGACATCCTCTCTTTCGGAGTTTTCCGCGAGGTCTAGCGAAGTGTGTCAATTCCGGATACTTCGGTGAGTTGGAATTCTTCATGACGTGGATACGGGCTGATGTGCCTCTTACACGCGTTAGTGTGCTCGCATTATTTATCCTCACAGATAAAGTTCGCCGGTAACATCAATTCTGCGCTGAGAAAATAGTCGCTTCAATATTTATTCATAGAATGTAAAGCTTGTTTCATAGAAATAAACCTTACTTCTACGAAATGAACTTTACATGCTTCCTTATAAATAAATCTTCAGGTACTTTTTGTCTCAGTGTAATCAGTGTGCACTGAGAAGAGACTACTTGAAAATTTATTCGTGGGATACAAGGATCATTTCACGGAAATAAATCTTATTCCCCCGTAAAGTAAACCTTACATCCCATAAATAAATTTTCAAGTATTTTCTTCTCAGTGTACGTGTTTCTTTCTTACTTAGATGTATCGTAGTTCCGTCATATAGATTTCCATCCGTGTCGCCGTGCATACGAAAGTTGCGTAATAAGATGACTCTAGTAAACGAAATTGAGCGGCAAACGTTGGAGAACCTCCGCCGCCCGATGTCCAAATGTTTTAAAATCCGATCCCGCCAACAGGTGACACCGGAGACCTGCGTTCCTGGTGAGAAGGAAAACGGCCGATGTGTCGCGGAGGAAAGGCGCGATCTCTCGCCGGTGAGCGTACCTGAACGCGCGCGAACGTAAATGTCACGGACGTCATCGCCGGCGATCTGATCGTGGATACGTGCGAGACCGTTTCTCGGGCTGTGCGGTGTGGGACCGGCGATGAGGAGACAGCCGGGAAGAGAAGTAGAACACACCCGAACGCTCGCTAATCCCCGCTGATCCTGGGCGGAGACCCTCGAAAGAGAGCGAGGACCTGGTCGCGCCGTCGTCAGCGCAGCGAAAGTAACAGCTCTTTGTTCGCCGAGTTTCCCTGAATGGGCTTAATCGCGTGACTCCGCGTGTCTAGCACGCAACGGTCCCATTGTCGCCCGGCGATTGGACGATGAAGAGTAAGTTCTGAGAGATCGACGACGACGACCTTCCGCCGGGTGCGAAATACTCGACGTGTCGAAGGATCTCGACGGTCCTGTCGAAGAATCGATAGCCGCCGGATAGATCGGCAGCGATTCCTCGCTTTCGCGCGGGATTCGCGTCCGGTTCATGTCGCGAAATCGACTTGGCGCAGGCAGAATCGCTTTTCGACGCGAACGACGAGCCACGTGGATCATCTTGATTCCTTGGGGAGGAGCCTTGACTGCCAGAACGACGGAACCGGCGACTTCGCGATACCAAGATGGGGTCGAAGATAGAGTACGTCGAGTCCTCCCACATGTACGCGACCAATTACATCCGCAACTCCAAGGCGATCGGAGTGTTATGGGGTATTTTCACCATATGCTACGCCATCATCGGCGTCGTCGCGTTCGTCACGCCGGAGTGGCTCGGCGACCTCGAGCACGAGAATCCCGGAAGATTCGGCCTGTGGACGAGGTGTAGCTACGGCGGCAACGGTACGTGCGCCACGCAGCTCTCACGCCCTGAAATCGTCCTGGATGCTCTCGAGATATCTTAAGACACTCTTCAGGGCATCCCGGACACATTCTGGGCAGCGGATCATGTGATTTTCCTCTAGGACCGAGACGTGAAAAGTGAAAATTCGGAATATTTTCGAATTAGAAGATTTACACTTTGCACGAATTCACGCATTTCAATTCAGAAGGGAAGATTCATATCCCTTGAGGGGTTGATCATGAATCTGCCTCCTAGCGTAAACTCGTGAAAAGTAGAAATTTTCTAATATGAAAATGTTTGGAATTTTCATGTTTCAGCCCTAGGAAAAAATTACACGATCGATATCTTAGGCAGCGATCATATGATTTTTCCCTAGGACGGAAACGTGAAGGGTGAACATTTTCAAATGCTTTTGAATTAGGAAATTTCCATTTTTCACGAGCTCATAGCTACAGAAAAAGATTCACTGACTCTCAGGGGCTCACGAATCTTGTCTCACAACATGAACTCGTGAAAAGTAAAAATTTTCTAATTTGAAAGCATTTGGAGCAAGTGTTTCGGATCGTTTCTCATCTTGAAAAAGTGAACCTAATTCGAAAACCAAATTGAATATTTCTTAATGATCCAAATTGCAAAAACGTAAAATATCAGTAATTTCAAATATTCAATTTTCACGTTTTCACTCTTAGAGAAAATTACGTGATCTCTATCTTGAATGATTTTAGTATATCTTGTATTATCTAAAGTACTTTCCCATCCTCCTCCTCCAAGAAAGCGTACCTCGGTTTTCTCCTTTTTCCCAATTACCCCTCTCGGGACGATTACAAGACGAAATACAAAGACGCAAGACTGTATCGAACAAACGCGTACCAAACACCGAAGAATCGTCTCACCTTACGACAGAAGCCAATTAATGTTTCCTTATCAATTAAAAGTCGCCTCCAGCTGTCGCATTCCAAACGCAACAAACGAGAGAACGTTCGATCGGTCGGGAATTCCGTCGGTCGAACGGACAATTCACAAGTTTCAGACATTTCGCACTTTGCGTAGGTGAGCTAAGCGAGGAGTGCATCGGCCGATTGGACGACCTGTCGACGATCGCCAACGTTCCGTTCCGGGCCAGCACGATTCTGGTCGGCATCGCCGTCATAATCGCGCTATTGGCGATCTGCGCGATGCTCATGTTCTTCTTCTGCCAGAGCACCACCGTTTTCTACATGTGCGCCTGGATGCAAGTGGTGTCAGGTAATAATAATGATCCGATTTCACCTCGTAACATGAAAAAGGAACGAGAAAACGCAGGAAAAAATATCGTGATTTCTAAATTCTTCCCCGATAAGGAGAGAGGGGGGGGGGGCGAATTTTCTCTGCCGCGCATTGAGAGCGCGAAGGAGACTCGAGATTAAACGCTGCCGAGCACGCACACGCTTAAACGGCGTTTTAGAAAGTGCAACGCCGGAGAACGCGCGCGGTCAGCCACGCGCGTTCTCGCGCCCCATTACTGCAATCTCGACCGTAATGTCTTATCAGCGAGATGCAATTGCAAATTGCAGCGACGCGCCGACACCGGGCCGGAAAATGACGCAATCGCCTCCGTTTAACGCGCCTTTATTGCGGCGAACTTTATCGATCGGCTTCATCATCATCATCGCCGGGCCGACGACGATTTTTTGATTTGCCGACTGCGTCGTCGCAAATCGTCCTCGTGTCACGGTCGATCGCGATTCCGCCGAGAGAGACCGTTTTTCACAAAGAGATTGATCATCGACACGCCAATTTTGTGCGTCATCCCGTTCGAGCGCGACAAAGCTCGCCGGCGATATTTTTGTTCGATTAGAAAGCGCGCCGCGACCACAGAACCGACGGTCTTGTGCAATGTCTGAAGTAATAATAATAACGTAGCATTGCGGGAATAACCGCCTCGTCGATACTTGAATCGCGCGGTCGGAGACCGTTCACGTCGGCGGAACCGTTGCGTCGCGACTGTTACACGCGTGCAATTTTTCCCCAATTTCGTCGCAAGTCCTGTCTTTGTCTTACGCAAACGTACATGTGAGACGCTTTACACGTTTCAATTCTGCCCCGAAAACGTTCGGGAATGTCACATCGTCCCGAGTCGAAATTTTGGCCACGTGTTAAAATTAAACTTAACTTTAAATCTACAACATTGTAGGAGCTAAGACAGAGAAATAGGTTCAAATTTAATAATATATATAATTATATTGCATCGCCGAATAAATATTTCTTATTTCTTAGATTTTTTCTCTTAATGTAATAAGTTTTTAAGAGAGAAGTTAGTACGTATCAATATCGTCAAAGTCGGCTTTTACTAGTCTATAGGCCACCTAGATACAAACTACTCTTAATCCTCGATAAGGAAAGGTGTGGTGGCAGAACAAAAAGGTGAGGTCATTAATGACCCAAATATGTGAACATACCTTCCACTTGATTAAAACAAGGAAAAAGGGCAAAAATCATATGGAACAATGAGCAAGAATATATTTTTCCAAAATATTATAACATAATAAATTAAGGTCTTACTCTACTCATGAATGACGACCTCTACCTTTCCTTGTGAAGTTTAAAAACGTTCGGTTTTGTAAATCGGAGATATCGGTTTGCTCTGGTTACACCAAGAACGTCGCTTCATTAGCTAGATATTATCTAAAGATACTCTTAAGAGCGAACCGATGTTGCTAATTTGCAAAAACCCGAACGCAGCTGCCGTAGCATCCAAATTTTGACTCGGGATGGCATTTCGATTGCCCTTCGATTGAACTTTACAACTGGGAAACGGCAACCGGCGCCGGTTTCCGGCATCGAACGCGCCGATACTTTCTCCAGATAGAACTCGCAATATCCGCGAGTGCGTGTAACTTTTGGTATTTCCGCGTTTGCGGTTTCCCGCAGCGGTTGCGCCTCGTTATCGGCGGAATCCGTTTTCAGAACGCAAAAACGAATGTCTCTCTCGCGAAACTTCCTCCTATATGCATACGTGCAACGCGAGAACCGCGTTTACGGCGTTTCACGTTGCGCTCGCGACGTTTTCCTTTTGCAATTGTAATCCGCGTTATCGTCGCCGAGAGCGCCGGGTCGCCGGCGACGAGTCGCTTGGCAGCGAAATGTAGAATAGACCGTTATAATGCCCAAGCCAGTCCGCCGGTATATACCGTTCGTCAACGCCTCCCTCTATGATTAACACACACGGCGCAACGACAGCAACCGCTACCGCTCTCTCCGCCGAGCCGATATTGCCGGAACGACTTTATCGCGCGACTTTAACGCTGCGTCTAAATCCCGATTAGCGGCAAGGCGCGCGCCTGTGCAATGCAATGTATCCCCGATGTAATTCCGCGCTCCGATAACCAGCTCAATTAATGCCGACATAGTTAGTGCGCCCACCGATAAAGGCATGTTCGCGACGCCGACTGCGGATTATGCGAGCACTTTATTCATTTGCGTTCTCCTGTGTTAAAACGATATAAAACGATCGTCCGTGTTTCGTTAACAAAGTAAATTCATTAGAGCGTACGTGATATCGTACACGGCACTCAGGAAATACGATCAGTGTGTTGTCGCTGAGAAGCAATAGTCACTGGTGATCATAATTACACGCAGAACAAAATTAGTCTTAGATCAAGAATAGATATTCTCATATATAAGCAAAAATATTACAATTTTCTTACATTTTTAGTTTTGATTTTTAGTCTTTATTTGGTTGAATTTATGTTGATGCAAGTATTACTTTAATTCAATCTTGAATTGAGTCAATACATATATATATATATATATATATATATAATTGAATCAATAGTGGAAGAGTTTCCGCTAAAAATTAATGAATTCTGATTGACTGATTGTTTATCGGTAGAATACTGTTTCACTAATTCAATTAGCGGCATATCGAATAATTCAACTGAAGGAAGCATTCCTCGGAAATTATGTACCGCGCCTTACAAAATAACGATGACCAAGCTCACTTGAGCGTGGCTTGCATAAGCTTAATTGCATTTGCGGTAACGAAGTCCCAACGACGTAGTCGGAGAGTCCTCGCGAGCCAGAACGCACGGGCGGTTCAGGACAGTGAAAGTTCCACGGACGGAATCGCACCTGATGTACGGCTTGCACGACTTACCTTCTGCAATCTCCTCACTGATCATGTTCTCCTAATAACAAACTAAATCTCCATTGATTCTCGATACCGCGAAATTTTCACAGAATCTTATCAGAAGAATATAATGTGCGAGAAGCTTGCACGACTTACCTCCTGAACCTCCTCACTGATCATGTTCTCCTAACACCAAATTAAATTTCCGTGNTTATCAGAAGAATATAATGTGCGAGGAGCTTGCACGACTTACCTCCTGAACCTCCTCACTGATCATGTTCTCCTAACACCAAATTAAATTTCCGTGCGTTTTCGATGCTGTGGAATTTTCACAGATTCCTATCAGGAGAATATAATGTGCGAGGAGCTTGCACGACCTAACTCCTGACCCTCCTCACTGATCATGTTCTCCTAATATCAAACTAAATTTCCATAGGTTTTCGATGCTGTAGAATTTTCACAGATTCCTATCAGAAGAATATAATGTGCGAGGAGCTTGCACGACTTACCTCCTGAACCTCCTCACTGATCATGTTCTCCTAACACCAAATTAAATTTCCGTGCGTTTTCGATGCTGTGGAATTTTCACAGATTCCTATCAGGAGAATATAATGTGCGAGGAGCGTGCACGACCTAACTCCTGACCCCCCTCACTGATCATGTTCTCCTAATATCAAACTAAATTTCCATAGGTTTTCGATGCTGTGGAATTTTCACAGATTCCTATCAGGAGAATATAATGTGCGAGGAGCTTGCACGACCTAACTCCTGACCCTCCTCACTGATCATGTTCTCCTAATATCAAACTAAATTTCCATAGGTTTTCGATGCTGTAGAATTTTCACAGATTCATATCAGGACAACATAATTTGCGAGGAGCTTGCACGGCTTAACTCCTGTAGCCTCCGTGAAGGGAATAAAATCGAGGGAAAGAGAGAAACGACGCTGTTCTCCATTCCGCGCGTGCAAATAAAAATCGGCGAGGCTCCGCGCGTGAAAAGAAAGTAAAACACCTCGCGAAGTGCGTGTTTCACCGGGCGCGCGAATGCGATTCGCGCGTTGAAATCACTCGCCGGGTAACAATATGCCTTGACTGGCATCTCGTGGAAAACGTGCGGCGGATCCCAGAAAAGTTGCGGTTGTTCCAAGTCCCTTTCACTGCTGGCCTCGCGCAGTGTGCACAACATCCGTGTGCGAGACGCAGGTATATCGCGGATAAACGCGAGCTGTATCGCGCTATCCACGCCTCGGCGGATGCAAATTATGGAACCATAAGGAATCCCGCGCGATATGTCATTAAGGTATCCGGCCTGTCACCGGTGATAATTTATCGAGAAATATTGCCGGTATCTAGTCGTTGGCTTCTCCTCACGGATTACGTACGCAGGCATAATTATCTCAGGAGAGAACGAGACGGAGGGGAAGAATCCTACGCGAATCGCAGCGCAACCGGTGCATCTCTATCTACCTATCTATCTATCTATCTATTTATCTATCTCTCTCCCTCTATTTATATTGTAAACAATTTTATGTTATTAGGTGTACAACTTTGCTCTCGCCGTTTTTTTTTTAATTTGAGGCTTTATTGTAAAAAAATGGAGATAAAGTTATGATTCAAAGTATTGTCCATCACTGGCCACTACTTTCTCCCAACTTTTGGGCAATGCACGAATCCCGCGTCGAAAAAACTGGTCATCTTTTGAAGTAATCCACGAATCTATCCATTTTCCGACTTCTTCATAAGACTGGAAGTGTTGGTCAGCCAGACCGTGTGCCATTGATCGGAACAAGTGATAATCCGAAGGTGCAACGTCTGGAGAGTACGGCGGGTGGGGTAGGACTTCCCATTTCAACGTTTCCAAGTATGTCTTGACCACTTTTGCAACATGGGGTCGAGCATTGTCATGCTGCAAAATCACTTTCTTGTGTCTCTCGGCGTAGTGCGGCCGTTTGTCTTTCAATGCTCGGCTCAAACGCATCAATTTAGTTCGATACCGATCGCCTGTGATTGTTTCAGTTGGTTTTAATAGCTCGTAATACACTACGCCGAGCTGATCCCACCAAATACAGAGCATTACCTTGGAGTACCTTGGACCACGAGTCTTCATCAAGTAATGCCTCCAATTCAGCATCTTCAAAAAACTTTCCTCTTCCACCGCTATGCCGGTTTTCGACATGAAAATCACCGTTCGTGAAGCGTTGAAACCACTCACGACACGTTCTTTCACTAATAGCGATCTCACCATAGGTATTTGAGAGATCTCTCTCTCTCTATCTTTGCTTCTCTCTTTTTCTCCCTTTATCTCGATCCGATGTGACAATGTGTCATACTTGTAACCGAATACGACTGTCTCTCTTGCGCAACGAAAATGACATTCCGATTTTGTTCTCAGGAATCTGCATGGCGGTCGGAGTGTTCGTTTATCCACTCGGCTGGGACTCACCGGTGATTCGCGCTGTTTGCGGCGCGGCTGCATCTAGGTGCGTATAGAAATACGTGATGTGCACAAGATATCGTGCAGCTGACGAAGTACGGCTTGATGTATAGCTTGTAAAATTTATAGTGCTGGATTATGCCGGAATTTTTGTCAAAATTATCATGTGTGTTTTATAATCTTTTTCCCTTCTTAAGGAGTGTTTCGTGTTATTATTTACTTCTTTTGCCCCCTTTGTACATTGATTACATGAAAAATGGGCAGAACAAAGTATAGGGTCGGATCCAACCCTAAACTTTTTTCTGGAAATTTCCGTTGAAAATTCATCTTGCCGTTAGAGAGTTAAATAGGAATAATGCGCTAATAATCTTCATGTCTCAAGACGAGAATTCGGTTTTACCTCGACGAAAATACAAGGAAGCGAGAAAATGAAGGAAAATTCTGTCTCGCCGAATTACCCCTTCCTCTTATCTTCCGTACAGCGATGTAGAAAACTCTTCCTGTGAGAAAAAATCGACACTCACCATAAAGCTGTCTGCTGTACCGGAGAGGAAGTTTTCGCCTTCTTCTCCACGAGATACTTCCTGCACAAAGTATTAATTACCGTCGAATGTATCTCGGGCGCAAGCACGCTCCTGCTGCCACACAGAGCTTCTCTCGGTCGCCTTTCACACGTGAATTATCGACGCGGCGCGATAACTAACAATAAAACTGCAATCGCTCGATTTCCATCACGACGACGAGTCAGCGACGAGGAACGTGAGAAGCGTGGCAATTAAGAGGCTATTCTTTCAACAGATACAATCCCGGCGCCTGTGCCGTGAGATGGGCGATACCGCTGGCTGCGATCGCGGCTCTGGACGCCGGTACCTTGGCCGCCCTTGCCTTCATCCTGGCCTCCAGACACGTAAGACTCCAGCCGGAGCCGTTCAACAATGGATCCTTGTACAAAGGTAATTGGCGACAAACGGTACTTGCTCATTCTCGTGGGATATCTTCGCGCTCTGATATGACACACGCTCTTATTAGCACCCGGAGAAAAAAAAGCCGGCAAATTAACGTGGCAAACGCGTTTTCATTGAACAGAATTTCTAGCTCTTACTAGGTGAATTCTGTTCTCAGCATTAGAAATTCTGTTCCTTTCAACTAAAACGCACTCGATTCGTTCACGATTGTCACGATAATTCAGCCAAACTTTTTTCTACGCGTGAGAAATATACACAGTAAAAAATGTTGTGTTAAATTTAACACGTTTCATATTTTCAAAACGATCCATACAAGTTTTTGTATTAATTTAACACGAGATGAATATGTCAAAAATAAACACAAAATTTTAATATGTTAATCGACACTGAAATATAAAATGCGTTATTTCGATACTTACAAAATGTTGAGATTACATAATATTTGAAATTAACACACGGATGTGTTAAGAATTTAACACAAAAATTGTGACAAGGGCCGCGTCTAACACGAGCGCGAAATGTTTTTTACTGTGTATAAAATACAATCGACAAGATCCCGTTCAACCCTGTCGCTCGTTCCAGGAGAAGTGAACCCAGGCTATGTGAACGAAGCGCAGAGCGTAGCGGGCTCTCGCAAGTCCTTGTCGCTGAGGCCGGTGCTCCTCGTGGCGCCACCGGAACAGGACCGTTACAGCGAGCTCTCCAGGGCGAAGTCGCACTCGCACCACAGCCTTTATACACCGGCGCCGTCGCACCCGGTGCACACCATGTCCACGAATACTCTCAACCACTCGCAGCACAACTTCCAGCTCTGAGACCAAGGTCGCGAAGAGACCAAGCAGGCCTGCTGTACATAGCTCGCGAAGAGAAGCGACACGGTGTATATAAATGAGAGAAATTCAGGGGAAGAGAAATATGAGAAACGGTAGGGAGTTGTGCGAAGAAAGAGGAACTTTGCGATAGAATCTGCATAGTGGTTGAGCGCGACGGACTTGCAAAACACGACGAATTGCTCGTCGACGACCGAGTGCGCGTTATTTCCTTTGTGCCGTGAATATTATTACCCCCTAGCTGTAGATGTGATTCGTCGTGTCGGTGTATTTCTTCAACACGAAGGGAACTGTCTTCCTTAGACTAGTGACTAATTTAGATACACCTTACCTATCTTGAGTACATTACGAAGACCGTAGCGCGCAGAAGAATGTAAAAAAGTAAAACACAAGAAGTAAGCAAATTGACCGATCACAGTCGATTATTCTACGACTGTAAGAAGAATAATCTACTGTGATTGGTCAATTTTCTCATTGCTCGAGTTTTACTATTTACGCTTTTGGTGCGCCACGGCCCTTATTATCGTAACTGAGACGATAACTATACGCGTTCGTATTATGTAGTGACATCCCGTTAGAAAATTTTTCATATATAATTACATATCTAGTTTTAATAATAATTAGATATATAATTACATATTAGATATTCGATTAGATATAATTATATATAAGGCGTCATATATGAAATTTGTCCATATATAAAAATATATAGTTATGAAGTAGTGATACAGTTATATATGATTATATATGAATATATGTATATTAATATATAATTACATATTTTTATGTATAGACATTCCATATATAATTATATGTGAAAAATCTTCTCACAGGATCAGTATCGAATGAGATTTGTATCAATATAGTTCGATAGCGTCGATTTAAGAAACGGTTTCTTGATTGCGAGATGAAATATCTTCCCACTTAATTTTCCTCTTAAATCTATTCCAAGAACACACACACACATATATATATATATATATGTATGTATCTCTCTCTCATACTTGTATTTATATATTAATGTATATGTATGTTATATGTACATGTAATTTTACATTACTCTTAGACGATTTCGTACTCCTTCAAGAACTGTATATTGGGTATCCTCTAAACGCGTGACGCTACACAAGATAAACGAGGATTTGCATTGAAATTACTCTAGGAATTTTATAAACGCTACAATCCGTGCCGTATTATCGGAGCAGTATATCAATCACGTTGTACAATTATATAAGACCCTAATTACTCATTGACGTGCCTTTACGATGTAGTGTGTTGAAAATAATATTTTTGAATTAAATAATTTTTACCACAAGAATTGCACGCTACTCTACGAAATATCCTTGCGCATATCCGCGTGTGACGTCGCGATGGTCGATCGCGAGGCTCGAGACAAAATGATATAAACAAGCGAGATTTAAGAAGATGCCCCCTTCTTCTCGACGAAGAATAAAAGTCGAGGTTCATTCGCGGACTGTTCGATCGTAAAAGTCGTCGGATTACGATCGCATCGGCCACAACGCGCATTTCGGTGCGCGACTATTTCTGCGCCGCCGACGCGATGCATAAAACATGCCGAACGTAAAGATGTGCAATGCAAACACGGTACATATATCATTTTGACTAGTGTATTTTAATGATATCGTACAGGACAAGTTTATTACGAGTATTATTTAGTCGATAATTCGCGCGACGGTCTCTTAGGTCTGCAAAGGCAATATTTTAACGTGACAACAGATCGTCCGTAACGACTCTCCAATCGTAGCTTAATCCTGTCTTTTTTTCTTCTTCCTTCTTCATATTCTATTAATTCTACTTCTAAAGAGGAAGTGTGTGTATGCGCGCGTGTGTGTATCTGTGTGTGTGTAAGAAATAAAGGATAGTTTTCTTCTTCTCGAGTCGTTTGGAGATCCATGAGACTGTTCGGGCGCAAGTATTATTGTACAAGACTATCTTCCTAATTATCAGATCTCTAATGAGAAACTGAGAGAGCATCCTGCGCATTTATCGAAACCTCATCCACGCGGATTGAGAAGTTACCTTCAATATTTTCGAGGTCTCATCTCCCTCTTCTTTGACAAATGAAATTTCGAAACACGCGTTTCTTTTCCCACGAATAACGTGACGCACAGAATGCTCGCTCCAGAACGCGCGCGTATTTTATGTACGCACTTTTCCTCTTAGTCTAAAATAAATATTCCAGGCGAGAGAGTGTCTACGAGTAACCGGTCTCTTCCTCGGGACGCGCCTCACACTCACTTCAGGCTCTAATAATCTCCTCATATGGCAAAAACAAAGGGAAGTTTGAACGCGGTTCATTCTCGCGCACCGGTCGACGGCGGTGTGTGTCCCGCGGGTTCCCCTCGGAGGCGGGCAAACTCGTGAGAAACGAATCTCGCGGATGGATCGAGAACGCCACCTCGAAAGGGCCCGCCATCGACGGGTGCGCGAGAGCAACACGAGCAAATCGTTCGACATTCAAGCACCAACGTTTTATAGTGCATTAATTAGTCCGCGATGAGGAACGAGACACAAAGGTTTACAACGTTGTAAATGCAAACGCGGGAAACGGGAGGGAGGTGGGAAGGACAGCCCTACCGGCCGCTCGTCTCGGTAACGCCGGTATTTAATTCTGTTTATACGTGAGCGACGTATCGTCGTATTTTACAAGGTATACACACGGCGTGTCCGCGTATGACACCCTCGACCGAACCGTTTATGGCTTTACTGCGCCGCCGCCGCAGCAACGACGACGGCGGCTCACGTGTGAGTATTCCATCCAGCGCATGCTTTACAGCCGTTTGTTTATTAGGCTTTCGTTTAATTGCCCGATCTGCGCATAACGGCATCGCACGGCTATTTTCACTGAGCTCTAAAGCGCGAGCCACAATGGAGGCGGACGCCTGTAATCGCCCGTACGATGTGTCGCACGAGAGCAACGCGTTTCGCGCCGGTGTACACCGTCAAATGAACAGCCGAAATATTTGCCGATTGCTTCGAGCGACAGAGAAGTTGGATCTCGTCGAAATGCCCGCCGTTCGTTAACGCCTTTCGTCAAGCGTGGTATCACGTTTTTTTTTCGCTCCTTCCTCCCCTCCCTTCCCGCATTGGTGATTTACGTGGGTGCGGAGTTACGTCTCGGTCGAGTCGTCTCGCGAGAAAAAGGAAGAAAGGGAGAGAGAGAGAGAGAGAAAAAGGGAGATGTGCAAATGTCGAATTTTATTGCCCGGTGTAGCCTGAAAGCGCTGGATTTATGGCGTTATATTAAGGTGGTAATTACGTGCGACGTGTCGGCGATGTTAATTGATATTTCATCGCGCGCCGATTTGACGGCGCATCGTTCGAGATAAATCATCAGCGAAAGTAACGGACGAGGCTTCTCCCGGTTTTCCGGGAGCGCATTTTTCCGCCGCTCGCTCATGAGGCCAACGGATGTGTGTGTGTGTGGGGGGGGGGGATGCGCGGCTAAGCGGAATCTCTCGGAGTCTTCCGAAACGCTCGACGGTCGTGCGTCGATTGGGCGCGAAACGGCGGTCAGGATTACCGATGCGAGACGGAACGAGTGAAAATAATTTAATTATAAGTTAACTTACACGAGAGGATATATTACGTATACTTCACTACGTTACAATCGACAGTACATCGTCGATCCTATCGTTACGTATGGCTGACGCATCCGCTCCCTCCGAGATCCGTTTTACCTCTCGTAAAACGTCCTAACCGGCGGAGTGACCGAAGCATCCGCGCTTTTGGATCTCTGCCCCGTTTACCTCTATCAAACTCTCCTACGCTTACTCGTTACTCTAAGTAGTTAAACATCTAGGACACTCGCTACTCTCACTGTATCCGCGATGGCTACACTCGTCGGGCGCGAGGAAACGACTTTCGTGCGAACGCGCGTAAGTCGGGACTCACAACTACTAGACGTAGTGAGTTGTTTTTCGCCTTTTGCTCTAATTGCTGCAATTAATATTTTTAATAAATCGTTTCGCGCTCCACATAGTAACTGACAAAGTATGGAAACGCCGTTTGTCAGGAATTACCTTACATTTTATTGCTTCGAGCAAAAGGCTAATAGCTTACTGTATCAATTGTGGGATCCGGACTAATACCACGAGAATCGCACTCGCGAGCCTTTCTTCGCGCCCTTAGCGTTAACACTACACACATACCTACAGTCCGGGATGTACGTCCACCGCACTGTGCAATGTCCGTTCTCACCTCGTCAGCGAATACGCCAACTACGCTCGATGCTTCGCGCGAATGAACAACACGAGCTTCGAACTGGGCGATCTTCGCGTGAAACGGCCGCCCTCTCGACGTCCTCGATCTTAGATCTCCTTGCTGACGACGATGCCGCAGGGCTGCACCACTCCGACGTGGTGCAATCTCGGCCTCCTGGGCGTGGACCTGCTCTCGTCCTTCTTCAGGAGCTCCTCTATCGAGTAGGGGTTCTTCTTCTTCTGCGGCTGCAGCGGCTGATTCTCCGCCGCCGTCGCCGCCGCCGCCGTCGTCGTCGCCACGTTTGTCATCATCGTCGTGCTCGAGCCGCTGTTCTTCGCCTCGAAGATCCTGTGCGACTGCGTCGGGTCTTGCCGGCTCGCCTCGACGATGGTCACCGGGCTCTCCCGCGCGTTGTCCAGGTTCACGGCCGAATTGGGCGTGCCGTGCCTGACGAAGGCGCTCCGGTCGCTGCCGATCTTCTGGCTGAGCTCCAGGATGATCGGTGCGTTCCGGAAGGACTTGTAGTGCTCCTGCGACTCGATGTTCTCGTCCAGGTCGCTCTTGTCCAGCGAGTCATCGCTGCCGGCCGTCGAGCTCGAGCTCGACTTGAGCTCGAGCTGGCCCTGCGCGCCGTTCTGATCCGACAGACGCTCCGCGTCCAGGGGTCTGCGAACACAAATTTGCGGGGTCGCGTCTGATGCCACTTTCCTCGCGTCTCGTCGAATCGTGTCTCTTTTTTCTTTTTTTTATCTTGTAAACAGTAGAATTACAAAATTGTAATATATATATGATAGTAATTGAATGTGCTGACTTACGCGAACGACTGCATCCCGTGATGCAAATGCAGGGTCGTCGCCTGGTAGAGGGACGAGTAGAAGCTCTGATTCCACGACGGCGTGCCGGTATTGCCGGTGTTCGCCGAGATGTGCAACGGTCCCAACGCCCCCGAATAGAACAGCTGATAGTCCGTTCTCATGAGCGCATCTGGAAAGGGAGAATCGCATTCGTTACGCGTTCATTACGATGCCTGACTTACTTTCGGAAGCTGCTTCTCGGAGGAGCTTCCTCGAGAATCAGCGTGGATATCACGCCGATAAAAGGGTATTTATCGAAAATACATGCGCACGCTATTTTCTTTTTCTCGCATAATATCGGTGATAAAGAAAGACAGCAACGTCGTTGAATATAATGAGAGGGATTAAAGACCGGGGGGGGGGGGGGNGGGGGGAGGCTGCGATCGCGCCAGGCTATTGATCGCGAAAGCCGAAAGGAGAGTCTACGGTCCTTTTTTCGACGGCACAATTGGGAGAGGATCCACTTCATCGTGAAGAAGCTGTCAAGGGACGTCAGTGCGTCGTATTCTTTCCACCTTTCCGTGCTGAATTTAATCGCCGTATAAATAGATCCGCTGCGCCATGCGTGCGGTGCATGCGTCACTTTTTATTCGCCATAATAGACGGAGCCCGTCCGAAGTCGGCCCTAACAATATGGGCTTTAACGATAATTCGCGGCGATTGGGAGTATCGAGCATGCTCTCGCGTCTCGAGGCCGTTCGCTCGCAAATGAGCTACACGCGCGCGATACAAATCGAATTCGAGTACTTATCGACGAGCTGCGTTCTCGTCTCTCTCTCTCTCTTTCGTGGTGCGCGATCCCGCGAAGACGAACTCGTAGACTGTCAATCGCGCGAGGGGAATGGTTTAAAATAAAGATGAAGACGAGACGCGCCGCTTCGCAATTAGCTGCTCAAAGCCGGTAAATTGAGCAGCACTCCGAGCAGCATCCAGCGGCACAAATTGCGAGGCAAATTTTCCGTTTCGCCGGCAGAGCCGGCGACGACGACGGAGGCGGGGGGTTGCGTGTCTGTTGCTCTGGCGTGGCTTTCGCTGACGAGTCAATCACGGCAACGGGGTGTCTCGAGATCTGCCCTCTTCGTTCTCCCCCCCCTGCCCTCCACTCATCCTTCGTTCAAGTTCTCATCCCATCCCCCCTTGTCACGAGCGTCCGCTCCCTATTCTTCTCCTTCGGCGCTGGGCTTTCGCATTTTTGGACATTTATCGTCTTTCTTCTGGAAATAACGCAAAAAGATCCGTCGCAACGGAAAGCAATTCCACGCTAGAGACAGGTGTTTAGGGCATCATTAGCCTGTAATGGTGCACTCGCAACGCAGCCTCGGCCGGTGTATAATGGCCTCGCCAGGCTCGGTGGCGAAAATATGCGCCCGCATCTCTCGACTGCCCCGCTCGCTTTATCCCGCTCCGCTCGATCACGAGATTTCGAATCTTTCTCGGTTTAGAAACCGATTAACAGCCCATGTACTGGTCTATGCATCTTGTGAATCTTACCGATCAATTTACAAGACAGAGTCTACGTTCTGTGCTCTAGTTACTCTTGTAAAACACGATTTAATGGATAAAATGCATTTCCTTAAAAACAAGATTGCTATATCTCAGAAATTAAACGTTCAAGGACGACTTAAGACTTTTTTGTTTACTTCTTTTATGTAGAATCTATCCTGTGAGCTTGTCGGTAAAGTTGAGATATATTTTATACAAACCTACGCCGCCCTGATACGATGCGGAAGTGTTGCGCGTGTTTCGTTTCCTTTCTTCCCGACTGTAGTAAGTCAAGGTATGAACTCACCTCTGGTGTTCGACGGGATTTGCGACGCGTACGCGCCGGATGTGCCGCCCTCGATGGCAGGGAGATCGGTATGCAGTCCGCCACCTCTCAGGATGCGATTGACCGAAGACACGGAGGGTAGGCTCTGCGGATCGCAAGCTCCCTGTCGCGCGAGCTGCTCGCGGATCTCCCAGGCGAACATCGTCGGCTGCTCCTGCTTCATTCGCAGAATCTTCTTGACCACCGTGGGCGTTGCTACTTGCTGAAACGACAGAAACGCGAATTATGCAGACACGCGCCAAAGCCCCTCGCCCTTTTGCGCAATGAGGAATTCGTGCTTTCTATTTATCAGCGACCGTCGTCGGCGTTTTATTCGTAAAACTCCCCGGCGATTTATAACGCTCGTGCTCGTCTCCCGTGAAGATGCTTATCAGTGTCGGGATGCCGTTGCTAATCGTCTCGCGAAGTCGTCTCGTCTCTTTTTCCCCGTTCCTTTTCGTTTTTTTTTTTACAGCACCGAACAACACCGCGTTATCTCATCGGCAAATTAACACGGCCGCGCCGTCGTCGGCGAGAGGGTCGCACGCGCATATGTCGTTCACAGGTGAAGAGCGCGGGGTCGCGAAATCAGATAGCGAAAAGGTACCCTCGCCGTTTTTCGGCGTCAGCCCCGGTTCACCTGGGTTCACCGAGGGTACGAACGGGTTGGTCGGTGTTCGTTCGCCGGTGCCTGCCACGGGGCCCACCGGTTGTACCCCGAAAGCGGGGCCCCAGTGGTGCTCAATCTGGCCGCGGCCAATTTGACTTGCTAATGAACGGTAATGGCACGCGGATAATTTTATGCTAACGCGATGGAAATGTTATTCGGCCCGTACAGATTTCGAGATCGCTGATCTCTTTGAGGGGCGACGGCGGTGCGAGCGAGATGCACCAGTCGCCGGCGAAAGATGATCATCTTCTTCGCCTCAGTCTGCGCAGGGGTCCGTGTTTTTGTCCCTTTCTCTCTCTCTCTCCTGCGCAGGTATGTATCGCCGAACGAAACGGTATCACCGAACCTGTCGATTGCACCGAGAAGGAGATCCCATTTCAAGAGACTCTCTCGCGTTCCCGGCGCTTTGCGCGCCGGTAATCTGTGCCCAGTCGCGTGGACCCGATACGATCTCTCGGCAAATTGTTCGGCACAGGAACGGGTTAAGTGTCGATGCGGAGGACAATGATCGATACGAATGGTATAAAGACGGACGGTGAACGCGTCAAGATGAAGAGAGTAAAGCGAGAGAAAGAGTGAGAGGAGGTCGACGTACAATAGTGTTAAAAAGAATTATGACTCTTGAATATAAAGCAGTCATAAATTTTTCGTTTCCTCATGGTTTCCCGTGTACAGATCGGCGTCGGCTCGACGAAACTGTCCTTTTATTCTCTCAAGTTGAATCAGTGGAAATGTCACCGATTGAATCAATGAAAGAGTATTCTACCGATAATCAGTGAATATTCACTAATTTTTCACGAAAAATCTTCCATTTAATGAAAATTTTCATCGTGCTGTGGAATGTCAAGAGCCACTTCTCTTTCTCTCCTTCTTCTTTGGTTTCGGGGACGATGACATACACGCGTCGAGATGACTTTCGAGAAAACGCGAGCGAGAACGAATCGTCATTACCGACGGTAGTGTAATCTCGCAGGTGGAAGCACCACTGACGGGAAACGGGAACGTTTAAGGGCTGCGCCTCGAGGGTAGTCGGAACCGAGAGAGGGCCGCCTAATAGTTTGAGGGGGTTAGGACAAGCATCGCGTGCTCCCGGGAGCATCTCAGATTCTAATCTGACACTTCCGTCGTCGTTGCCACAATTACCCCGGTCCGACAATATATATACGCGCGTCCTAATGCGGACCCTCGCGTCGCCGAGCACATCGAAGCGCGAGCACGCACGTGCACACGCGTGAGCGCCCGGCTGTGTGCGTCTACGTGTGTCTGTATGACCGTCGGAGGAAATTGGCCAAGCAGGATGGACATCTGGTACTAAACGTTAGATAACCCGCATATACCCGAACAGGTTGACCAACTCGGTAATTATCGCGCACAAGTTGCGCGGCTCGCTACATGCGCTCCGGGCGCCCCTCGAGTGCTCCCCGACGATAAGGACAGCGATGACCGTCGGCACCTTTCGCCCCATTTTTTCCCATGCTTCGGGGCGCGTCGATCGAACGAACACGAACGAGAATCCGTCCTTCCGAGGAGCGTGGAAATTACGCTGACTTCTTCTCTTTCCGTTTCTTCCTCCCCGCTTCATTTTTCGATTCCTCCGGCGTCGCTCAAGGCGCCATTTTCCGCGTCGGCGGCCTATTCGTTTCTATTTGTCGCGGGCGTTTCAGCGTGCCGCGCTAAATCATGCATTGAAAAATAAATAGACGTCCGATCGAGCACACGACGCGGTTCCGTCGAGACCGCCCACGGCGAGATCTTAATTGCCCGATAAACGGGGAAAAACGTCCGATCGTCGCGCGCGGAAATGAATGTTCGCAGCGACCGGAGCCGTGACAATATTTATCGCGCGTTCACGGAGGAGTTCCCCTCGCCACGGTTTCGAGAAACGTCGCGAGATCGCGATCGAAGCTGGAGTAAACGTAGGACGAAGTGCGTATTCCGTCCGCGCGAGCGAGAGAGAGAGCGCGCACGCCCGTGAATAGTATATGAGAGAAACCACATTCACACACGAATACATTCACTAACACACACGTACATGCTCGTCGACGAAGCGGCGGATCGCACGATTTTTTTCTTGACGTTCCACTTTATTACAGCGGCTTCGACGGCCCGTGCATTTTTCATGAGACAATTTTCTCTGTCGTGCCGCCGGCCCATTATCCGACGCGTATCGCATTGACGCGCACGCGTACGTCAAGGAGAGAGAGAGGGAGATAACGGAGAAAGTACGTGGACATGCCTCGAAAATGTTACATACCGTACACGTGTAGATTCGCCGATAGTTCGCCGATTAATTCGCGAAATCGCACGCTAAATTGCGCGTCGTCGGCGAAGAGATCGCGCGCGCCGTGGGAGTCTCGACGAGAGAGCGCGCTTCGAAGGTAAATTTAATTAAATACCGTTATCGCGCCAAACCTCGGCGTAAATACCGCCCGAGGCGCGAAATAAACCAAAATCGGGCTTTGCGCCAAATTCGAGGAGAGAGAGAGAGAGGGAAAAAGAGAGATCGTCTACGAGCGAAGGGCGATACCGCGGGCGAGGGTGCGCCGAGAGAAAGAGAGCGCGGAAAGTCGTAATAACAGACTCAAAATGGAGGGCAACGTTATCTTGACAGGGCGCCGTTCATCTTTCGTTACTCAGCAGGAAAATCGGAACGTCTCTCTCCCTGATGGAAATCGACGCGTGATGGGAACGGGAAGTGGAGAAGGGGACAAGAGGGGGCGGTTAAATGCCGGTGTCGGGAGGACTCGACGTTGATACGCGCCGAGTTAATACTGCCGCGCAATCAAAAGGCCGGGGTTTACCTAGTAGCCATTATTTAATTATCGGCGTAATTTTAAATCGCTGTAAAAGCCACTTACAGACGGACAGTGACGTGTGCTCGGCGCGCCTCGGGGATGATATCTAACGATCTTCTCCTCCCAGGAGAGGATCCTTTGTTGCGGAGGACGGTGGGCGGGTTGGCACGTACGAGTGTACGCGTATGCAAGCCGCGAAAGAGAGCGATCCTTTATACGAGCTCTCGCGAGCTTATCGAGAGGCGAAAGACTTTTCTCTCCCCTCCCTATAACTCCTCGTTCAAATTGGTTACCATCGCCGCTTTGTCGCACGTGAAAAAGCGAACAAAAGTCGGTCGGTCGGTCGGTCGAAAGGCGCGCGGAGAGAGGCGGGATGAAGAGAGGGACGGTACAAAGAACGTTAAAAAGAACAGCGGGAAGACCGAGCCGAATTAAGCGCGGCGACCATTATTCCGCCGCGAGACTATTTTGACATACGCAAAATAAAACCGAACGCTGTAATGGCGGATGATGACTATCGTTTACATGCGCGCGTAATCGGCCTCCCGTGCCACACTGCCGGAATTTAAATGCCCTCTTCAGGGTTCCTATATGAGAGCCGGACCGACTCCCTCTCTCTCCCTCGGCGTTCTCGAACTCGCAACTCGCGCGGAGAGGAAGGTCGACGGACGCGCGCGGCGTTATTAAAATAAATTCATTAAGCCGAAAGCCGCAACCCCGTCCCGTCGTGGCGCGTCGTAAGAAATTCCCGGCGTACGCACCGTGGAATTATATTGTCATTAGCGGGATCGTATACGCGATACCGCGCGATAGCAGCGATGCGCACTCGAGGGGGCGAAACGACGTTCGCCGCCGCGGACGACGCGGATTATCCCGCGAGATAAACGCCGCGATCTTGGCCGTTAAATTTCGCAGACAGGAACGAAGACGTTGGACGTACGTTCGCGACTTTATCGGAGGCTCGTTCCCCGCGCGTTGTTGTTGATCCACCGTGGGCTGATCGACGACGGAGGATCGCGCGTTCAGCCGTCCGCCTTTCTTTTCCACGCGCCGTAATATCGATCGATATGCGGGTTTGATTAATTTCCCGCAGCGCGACACCATTCGACGACGACATGGCGTGCGAGGCGAAGCTAAGCCGCCGGTACCAGCGAGAAAACCGAGCGAAGCCATGAAATTATGCAAATGCCGCGCCGCTGCAAGGTGTTTGGATAATTGCACGCACGGTCGAAACGCAGCCCTTACTTAAAATCACATCAGGAATGTCTGAACGCGCGACTCCGTGCCGTTCGCTTACCTCCCCCCGCTTCTGTTTTAGTCTTTTCCCTCATCAGAGAGAGAGAGAGAGAGAGATGTGCCATCGACCGCAAACATACTCGCGATGCCAACTTGTTTTCATGTGTTTTTGCGGAGTTGCCAGCATCGACCCTCATCCTCTAGTCGCTCTATTACCGTGCTGTTATGTACGCCGGATTCTTACATTTAAAGGAAGAATTAGTTATAGAAGGTAATATCTAGTTGTGGCAGCTGAAACAGAGACAGCTGGAGTCGTTGCTACAGCAATTAATAAATTTAACTGGTAGAAACTACATTAGCGACTACACTAAGAATCTCATTTAGTTGAATCGAATTAAATTCTTGTTTGAATATGGGCGAACAAATTATTTGGTTATAAGAACTAAGGTTTGGTTCTATGAAACCTCTGAAATTTCGGAGAACCAAACCTTCGGTTTCAGCCAACCAAATAAATCCCACTTCGATGTATAACGTAACGATGTAAAAACAATTTATACGTACACAAGGCAGGACATATAAAAAGAAGAAAACAGTACGAGAAAAAGGAGAGAAAACCGTTGAAAAGATAAGGAAAAAATGAAGACAGGCTATGCAGGCCTGCGTAATTGTTTAATAACATCGCGTCTCAATACGGCAATGACATACCAATTGTAAATATTTCCAAGTATGGAATTTCCAAGTATGATCCATTGAACAGTTTAAACAATGAAAGGACCGCCTACATACGTCTTCAGCCTCTCGATTTTCGCCGTTCGGATGTCGCGCGCGTAATTTTACTTCCGCGAGACTCGAGGATCCTACCTTCGTCTTGCTGCCGCCGATGCTGCCGGGCCGGATGCTTCCCGTCTCGTAGAACCTCGTGAGTATCTTGGAGACACAGCCGTGGGACACGAGTAGCTGTCGCGAAATGTCGCACGGCCTGACGCCGCCCAGGGCGAGGTGCACGATCCTCTGGCGCACGCAGTCCGGCAGCGGCCTGCCATTCACAAAGACGCCGCCTAATTGATTCACCCCGGCTTGTCCTGAAGCAGAAGATCGTTATTGCGTTTAATGAGCTGACGATCTGACGCGATAAGGAGGGGCAATACGATTCGAGATTTCGCGGCGATCCGGCCGGTATTTATCGATTTTGCACGAGGGCCGGGCGAAAATCCGCTAATAGCGCGGCTCGCAAGGTCGGCGGCAGGTGCAGCGGGTCGGTCTTCGACGTCGCCACGACGAATATCACCGCAAAAGGACCTAGGACTCCCTTCCGCTCGGAGATGTATCATTATTCCCCGGTAAACACCAGGTGGGAAATCGCGCGGCCGATCGCCTCCGTGTGTGTTTACGCACGTACGTAAGCGCGTTCTCGTTGCGCCTCGAAGCTCGCTTGCAATTAACGCGCCGCGTGAGGTACTCGGCCGCTTTTACGGGAGATTATGCCGATATTAACGAGTTCGTCAGCGGGTACGAGAGACTCTTACGCAGCGACGCTCACCTTTTAGACGCGTGTTTTCCCGCGAAAGTACCCCAGCGGACTTCTTCCCGCGGTCGTCACTTATCTCGTTTCTCTCTCTCTCTCTCTCTCTCCCTTTTCTCCCTCTTGCTCCTCCCTCTTTTCCTTTTTTCCTCTTTTCTTTTTTTCTTTCTTTCCAGACGTTCGAGAGTTTCTCCGAGCTCCCTCCGGAAAGTCCCAAGTGCGCGACTAAGTGACATTTTGCCACGAGCAGCTTTCTGCCCAATGAAATCTGACGTCTTCAAAATACAGTACATTAAATCGCGATTTCAGGACCGGTAGGAATTAGCATAACGTATCCGTGACGGGAGGAAGAGTCGGGATTAAGTTTGGATCCATCAAGCGACTTGTAAAAGTTAATTAGAGGTAAACGGCGTTAAGACGCGCTGTGGTTCCCGAGGAAGAGAGAGAGGTGGTTTTTGCATTTTCCTTCTGCGTCTTCTTTTCCCTCTCTCTCTCCTCCCTCGCATTCGTGTCCCATAAAACCGTCTAATCGGGCAATTTGTATCCGCCGGCGCGCGCACAATGTAGACTTAAATCACGCAACGCGTCGAGTTATTTACGCGTTATACGCGCGATCATGTCCGCGCGTACGACATCGGGCACGTCGTATAACGCGTCGTGCGTTCCCAGTCGGAAATTTTATAAAATCGATTATTCCACCGGTGTGGCATCGCGTAAGCCGCGATTCACCGGCTGGCCGCGTATAAAAACGCCAATTGATCAGCGATTTTATGTTCCGCCGTCGAAACCGAATCGCTTAAGCGATCCTGCGGCCGGTGCACGCATTAAGGCCCAAATAAAATCTGAGTTATATGGCAGTTTCTGTTTGTCTCCCGAGAACGGGACGAAATCGTGCGCCGAAGGGGCACCGCCGCCGTGGTGGCGAGCGGCCCGGAAAAAGCCGCGGAACGATCGGTCCCCGTTCGTCGACGAGAGAGAATTAAATCCCGCGTCGTAAATCGACTTACTCATCGCGAGCGGTTCTTAATTTCCGAATCGTCGCGGTAGTCCGCATTGACGACTAGTTAATGGCATCATTACATTACGCGCCTTGGAATTTCATGGAAATTTCGGCCGATTAGCATTCGACCGCGAGTTAACCCGTGGGAGCCGTGTGCTCCGGTCATTTCTAACACAGTTTGTGAAATTTTAGTTCGAAAAAAAGGTATATCTTAATTAACGTACCGTTACGAAGAGCAAATGAAAAAATTCGCTCGTAGAATCTTAAAACGCTCTATGGAAAAAGAAAACATCCGTCAGATAACGGAAAATTCAGCAACACCAACGAAATTATTTTTCCGTGTATACTGAGAAAACCCCAGCTGTTTTAATCAAGTTACAGCTGGTAGTTCAGACGAATGTTCTCAGTAACTGATACCTTACTCCTTGTCACTGAATTTTTATTTCTTGAAGGAGAAAAATGTTTTGTTAGCACAGCAAATTATTTGTTATTATAGTGACAGCAAAAAAGATTTACCACATGGAAGAAATGGTTTTGCTGCAAAACAACAAATTTTACAAAATGTCATTGCGACAACAATAAAATATAGTTGACGTAACCATATTGGTTGGAATATTTTGCTATCCATATATCCAGCAAATAGTAATTAATACACTGAGAAACTCATTTAGTTGACTCGAACTATATTCTTGTTTGAATATGAACGAACAAACGCTTTGGTTATAAGAATTAATGGGAGAAATTCAGAGAACCAAACATTTCTTCGATATTTATTGATTAGAAAAAAATTTGACTGGTTGTGACGGAGTATATATTTTTAATCGGTTTGTTTGCTAAGAAATAAAATTTTATCTCGCCGCATCTGAATAAACGCTTATTTCTGTAAAATAAATCTTACATTCCATGAATAAATTTCGAAACCTTTTTTTTTCTCAATGCAGTAACTAACAATTTGCTGTATCGTAAAAGTTTTTTCCGTGTTGTCGCCGAGTTTTTATCCAGTCTGTTCAGTTGCAGGAATCGAACTTTGCTTTCGTGTACGCACACATCTCGCCAATGTATTTATCATGTGACACGCGTGAAGAAGATTTTTGCAATCGCATCCGTTGTTGATTTAACGTCATCGTTACGAAGGGGAGGGAGGAATTACGAACGATCTTGAGGAAACAGCCGTGTTTGCACCGTCCGCATAACGTTTAACGAATAATAACGTGGCGCGTAACGAGGAGGGATATAATTGCGATCCGATTCCCGATGATTATTACGCAAGCGGAGCCGCTCTCCTCAGCGGCGTTACTAACAACGATCTCCTGCAGCCTCTCCCGCCGTCGGGAAGGAATACAAAAGGAGCAAAGAGGGCCGGGCCGTAAATGCCGTGAGGCCTCTTATATAAATCGAGCCACGCGCCTTCACGTAGACATCCGGATGCACCGGACTGCGTACCAAGACGATCGCTAATTATTATCCGCGCCGACTAATTATGTCATTACCTCGATCACTAACGTCGCCGACGACGACTGTCCGGCCGGCCGGTCGCAAATAACGATCTCCGGGCCGCGCGTGTTCGTTCGGCCCAAAGAAAAGGTTTTCGTCAATCTTTTCCGCCGCCATTAGCGGCCCGATTCCGCGAATCCGCGCTTTATTTGGCGTTTTACGGGGCTAATTGACCGGACGATCGCGATTACTCCCCGTGATTCCTGCTCCCCGTCGGAGCTGCCGCCGCTTCTCACGAGGAAGGCCGATTATTTCCGCGATGTCGATTTTTACACGTCTCTCTCTCCCTCCCCAGGGAGACGTAGTAATTCCGCACTTTATGTAGACGCTTTTACAACCGGCGGATAAAAATCGCGATCATCTTCCAATTAGAGCGCTCGTCAGCGCCGTTTATTCGCGCCGCCGCCGCAATCCGCGTAAGAGAGGTCATTAGTGGCGTCGCTGCGCGCGCGAAAGAGCGAAATTACGAAATATTCATCTCTAATTTCAGGTGCGCTCCTCTCGCGATCGCAATTGCTCGTAATGACTGTTGCTCGAAGGCGTGACGGATTGCCTTTATTGGATAATTCAAGAGTCGGCCGATCGAGACAGCGCGCACTCGGTAAGGCGACCCGCGTTTTCGGGGGTAAAATTACTTCCGTGGGATGCGAGCGGTGTGTCTCGCGTGTTCGCATGCACGTTATTCAGTAAATTGGTCGTCATAACGGTCGCTATAACCGGAAATAAAGATCGAATCGGGCCCGGCGCCGCGACGATCGACCCTTTTGACGCGAGCGCTTGGAGTTTCACGCTCCGTGTGGCCTCTAAACTGCTAATTAGAGGTGAGCGCGTTAAGCATCTGCGTGGTCGAGTTGAATCGAATAGAACGTAAATTTTCACGTCGAACATCTCTTTAATTTCAATGCAAATAGAGTTCGAATCGAAGATTTTCCGGGGTTTTTACATTACACGCTAATTTGAATCGCACCAACTTATTTGGCAAAAGTGCATTCTTAAACATATAATTTCGTTGACGGTAAAAGAATGACTCTGTAAACGAAGCAGTCGAGAGACCGACTAGAACCGCCGATGACTCGAAATTATTCGCATTCGAGCCGTTTAAATTGAAGAAACAATCAAATCCGCAGTGATTCGTCGATTCGAGCGATTCGCCGCTAATACGATTCTTACGTAAGTAATTGCACCCCCGCATCCCCTAATGTCCTCGGTACGCTCCCGCCAATCCTCTCGCGATTACGCCGTGGGAATTATACACGCTCCGCGGACAAGCGGAGACGGATGCGTGCGGGCGCGCAGCGGGCCGCCAAATTATTATTACGGCAAAAACCGGCCGAAATGGTGTCTTTATCTAAGTGCAAATCTGCCGGCGGATCTCACGAAATAATGGAGCCGCGCGTTAACGGTGCACCTCTCTCGGACCATCGTAAGTACGGACGATCCGCGCGAGACAAAAAGCGCACACGCGGAAAACGAAGCGCGCGGAAACGCGGCGAAATCGGCGATGGGACGTTCGGGAATGCGATTTGCGCGCGAGTATTACCGCGGCGCGAATGCGGTAATCACTATTAATGGCGCGGTCGCCTTCGCGATTAAAAGCGCGATAAACCCGGCGCTCTTCTCGTAAACGACGAATCGGATGATGCTTGGTTGAATAGGTGTCCTCAGGAGATACCGCCTCGCGTACTCTCCCCGCGTTCGCGGAGAGATATCTGCGCGTGATAATATAATAATGTTACAACGAGACGTTATATTCTCCATTCGCCGAATTAATCAGCGATTAATTCGGCGAGGTGAAACGGACGAGTTGGCCGCGCCAATGAGAAATGAAGAGATTTTTATTAGCCGGAGCCGGAACTTGTGTATAATTTCGCGTACAAGTTAAACGGCCACGTAGAAAGGTTTTCGGCAGGATTTGACTCTTTTCTCCAAATTTATGCGTTTTCACCTTGACTTCTGAACCCGCTACCGAATTAAATGCGTAGCTCGCTCGTTAAAGTGTATTCTAATAATCTCGGGGAAGTGAGACGCCGTACGTACGAAATTTCTCGTCGCGTCTCGATGTCGCTTCCACGAGATCCGCTATACTTTCTATAAGTCGAATCAGTGAAATAATATTCTACCGATAGTCGTTGAGTATTCATTGATTTTTAGTGGAAGTGTTTCCACTTCAGCTCTTTTGTACATGATTCATCGATCTTGGCCAGTGAACTGTTTCTCAGTGAAGATACGCAGAGAGTGATTATTCCCGCCGTAATTATTTTGCACGATCGTTTCCCGACGAGAAGATTAATTCGCGAACGAGTCTCTGTTATTTTTATCATCACCGCATTGCGAATTACGATATCGCGAGATATTAAGCAGAGAACGACGTTATTAGCGATCCATATCCTCTCTCGTATCAGCTCACTGATCCTTTTACATTACAGAATTCAAACTGTGTCAAACCGACGCGAGCACGAAGTCCCTTCGAAGCCCTTTCGCGAGCGTATTAAGAAGGGGATATCTTTCGAGATATAATGCTGGTTAGCTTAGAATTAGCCCGGCTAATGCCGGCCAAGAACGATCGCTATCGCGCTGGCCATTTAGGCCCTAACCAAACTCTACACCTGCCTACCTGTAATCACGATCCGCGTCCATGCTAACAGATTTTTTTCTCTCGCTTGTTCTCTCTCTGTCTCTTTCTTCCTTTCAAACGAGTATCGGGGCATCATCGCGGTGCCGAATCAATGCCAAATAGCGTGTATCGCGAATCGTCCAGCTATCGGGCCCGACATCTGTCTTAAAAGGGACACACACGCGACGAGGCCGGCCCTCCAAATGGGAGTGTATTAAGATGGTTAACCACGGCGGCTGTTATTAACCGTTTATCGCTCCGGCGATTATTCCCGCGACTCTCGAACGCGGTGATAATTGGGAGGTAACATGTGTAACATGAACTTCGGGGATGGCCGGGAGAGGCAACATTGAATTTGCGAGGTGAGCTTCGGGGCTGCCGATAGCTATCTGCTCGCAGGGATATAATCTTAGTACGTCTGCGATTTTCGACATTACCTCGCCGACTCGCTAACGAGCAAGGGCCCGAAAGGGGGCCCGACACCGACGATTCCGGCCCGCGACGAATTCGGCATCGGCGCGAGCCCAAGTGTAAACGTTTACGATCGCCCAACCGGTTGACCCGCCGGCACCGGCCGGTCAACCGGCCACCATGAAACGTCGGAATACTTTCCCCGATTTCGAAAATCGCGACCGAGTGTGCAATCGGAAGAAAGAAAGACCGATCGAGAGAGCTCTCCCGCTCGGGGTAGACGAGCGGAATTTTTTTACACGGATATTAGGCCAACGCACAGCGAAGCAGGGGCGAGCGGAGGGGCTGGCGGGAGAGAGACCATGGTGGAAGGGGAGGACAGGAGATTGTAATTAAACTCGTTTAATAACAGGCCCATAGATCTCGGCGTTCGATCCACGGTATAAAATTCTTCGTTAATTACTGTCAAACTACCTTCCAAATCGTAATTTAGCCTCCGGTGCGCCTCGAGCCAGCCTCAAGGTGGACGGATGAGAGCGAAAGAGAGAGAGAGAGAGCGCACCGTGGCGCGAGGGGGCAAGGAAGAAGGGAGAAATTTTAATTTTTACTGCCGATTGCGCGGAAGAGTCGTCCTGTGATCTCGCCGACGGTAGCTGACCCCGTGCCGCCCGAACGTCCCAAGGAAACCATAACGACGTGTTACATTCCCCCCTTGCATAAATCAGGAAGCGGCCGGGCGAAGCTATAATTCTCACGGGCGAATCGCGAGATTGGCTATTTAGCAAACTGGCCGTCGCTCGCCACGGCTACGACGTCGGTGCGATGTCTCTCGCGCGAAAGAATTAGCATACGTTATGCGACATGTACGACGTCGAGGTGGAATAGAAAGATAGAGAGAGAGGGAGAGAGAAAGAGAAGGAGGGAGAAAAACGGAAAGATCGTGTGGTATGCTTCTTTGGAAATTTCGATCGGTTAGAAAAGAAGAAAAATGTACTCACCGGTGTGCGGCATGGTGACGGACGTTCGGCTGTTCCGTGTGTGCCTGAAACAGAAGAAGAACACACGCCCATTTTAGAGAGAAAAACCCGGAGAATGCGTGTTTAATGTGAAAATACCAACACCCGGCCAGGTGTCCGAATCCGGGCATTCTCATTATTTTAAATATGAATATTTAAACTTTCAACATAGAATATACACGTGCGTATTAAATGTATGTACGTACATTCATGGTCGGAAGTTTAGATATTCGTAGTTAGAAACCAATAAGAATGTGTCCAGGTTCAGGTGCACGTATTGGTATTTTTACCTTATATGCAAACGACAAAATGAAGCATAGCGCTCATCGTGCTGGATCCAGCACGCCGTACGTATCGCGCGCGCACGTACACACACACGCGTCATGTATGCGTGCATGTTTTCGCCATGCGACGTATTATAGAGCGCGGGAGTATAGCCTTCGCCGTTAATGAATTTAAATGTATTCAAAGGGCGCGCTTGACGCTTGACATGGCAACCCTTAAATATGCAACTGTACCGATAAGCCAAAGCGCGGCAAAATATTGCCGGTGGCGGACCGTGACTCTCATTCCCGAACGAATCGAGCCCCGAGATCGCTCGAAGGGCGGCGAACGACTTCATTTTTCAGCCCTCCCGTGTGCGTCGTTACGAGCGCGTTCGTTATCTCGCGGCTGTTTATTTCGGCAGACGCGCCCACCCTCGCGCGAGACCGGGTCTTCATCTCCCTCGGCCGATCTTTCCTCCGTCGTGAAGGCGCGCCTTTCCGCGGGGAAATCGGGAGAAATCGCGATTTGAGAACTCGCGACGGAGAGCGGAAAACTACGTGGAATGCGTGCGTAGCGTGGCGTGTACTTTGTGATGCAAATTAATGCACGATTACCAAAGCACCCCTTGCTTCCCGGCTGTGTGCGCGCCTCGCAGGTAGCGACGTACGTGCGATCCGCCTCCACCCCTTGCGACTCGATGCCTACCCCCGCATTAGGCCTGGTTACACGCTCGCCCCCGCGAGCTCTAATCTGATGTAACTATTACATACGTTACGCGGTATTCATACTCGAAATGGCCGCGGTGGTAGCGATGAAAACTCATTTCTCCGCGGCTCTAATCCGTGTCCTCACGGCCGACTGGCTTATTCGTATCGCCTCGCGATCGAGAGCACTGTTATTCTCTTAACGTCGAGCTCGGCCGAACAGATATTCCAGCTACTACCTCTCTCGGTGTACAATTCTTTCCGAGGACATTCTCACTCTCTTAACCGATACGGTGAGAACTACGTGAAAAAAATGACCTTTGGAAAGGTCCATAAAGATCGGGAAGCGTCCGGAGACGAAAAAAAGGCAGATTGCATGGTGGATACTAAATCCCGCCACGGAGCGATTTCAAGGTGTTAAATTGTGCTCGTTAAAGGCAGAGGCTTCGACGTTCGTCGTCCGATCGCGACGAGGACGAGCGACGGCGAAGAATGCACGAGCGTTTTTGTCACGGAGCGGTATTACTTTCGGCTCGCGTCCCGAGTTCCGCGGGATGAAGCCTCCCGTAATGAGGATTGAGCGATTATTATAAATCAAACGAGCCCGGCGAGCGAGCGCCGCGTTTCTCGCATGCCGCGTGTTTTGCCGATGTTACTCTCGCGAACACGTGTCCCTTGCCTCTCCTTCCTCGTCGCAAACACACGCCTCGACACACTCGCTCAGCCTCTCTCATCTCTTAAGGTAAAAGCCGCCGGGAGACGTACGTAACTGTGGACATTCAATGATCAAACTCGCGTATGGGCGAATGCGATATCTGGTTTTTTTCCATCATTATCGAAAGCTCCATATTACGCGCGATCTTTCAACTTTGAGAAAACCAAATTCCCCTCGATAAGAAGAGGACCTCTCTCACACACTCTGAGTGCGGAGGAAAGAGGAAACAAAAGTCGAGTCGCGGCCGGAGGAACGCGCAAAGGTGAAACGTCGATCGGTCATTTCCCATCGACCCGCCACGGCTCGCGTTTTCCGCTGACGGGCTCGGATCGATTTGAGAACCGCCGCGCCGCGGTAAATCGCCAGTAAGGTCACGCTTTTACGTGTAAGCCCTAAGCGAAATCTAGTTTTTGTTTATTCATTAGGCTACCCCGCGCTTTAAGTGGTACGTGGAGAAGGCTTCGCCGCAGCGCGGTGACCGAGGGGCACGTCGAACGGGGAGGAAGGGGGGACCCGGGGGGTGGACCGTATCACCGATACGCCACCAGCCATAAAAATCTGAATATATTAGGCCTACATGCGCACGACATCTCGCTCGGATCGTGAACACGTTACCCGCGATAATCTACGCTCGTTTCCAGCACACTTTGCACGTTTATGCGTACACCCGAGGCGGCTACCGTGCGAATCGGTATACCTTGCCTCGCCGGCGCCTCTACCCTTCGCGCGGTCGCTTCTGAATCTAATTACCCCGTGTATCCCAATTAAGAATAGTTTTGTTAGTCGCGTCTCGGTCGAGCGGAAGGGAATCGGCGTACTTCCGCGGCAGGATAATCGCTGTGACGCTGCGAGAAGCAATGTCGTCACCGACGCTGGATTTTTCTCCCGTCGTTTTCACCTCCGACCACTTCGAGATCGCGTTTTAATTTGATATTCGTCTAATGAATCACGGACACGTAATCAAGGCACAGGCACGCTGCGTGCGCGCTTTATCCGCAACAATGTTCAAGGTTGAGCTCTCGAGCGACTTATCAAACGAAACGCGAAAAAAAAGGACGAAGGAAAAGTTGCGCGATTCGAACGCTCGCTCGTGGGTCGCCGCAGAAGAGACTCTCGGAGATCGGATATTTCGAGTGCTCGAGCGTCGAAGCGCGGTCGACGAGCGGATAAGCTTTCGAGAGCACAGCGCGGTAAGCAGGATCGGTCAGTGGCGCGGGTGAGAGAGGGGCGGGTAATTAGAATAATTCGGGCCGCCGTGGTTCACGCCACCCGGACGAATTTGCATTTTAAATGAAGCGATGGCGTGCCAGGGGCCCCACCGTGCCGCTCGAGAGAAGAAGAAGAGAGAGAGAGAGAGAAGCGGGGAGCGGTAGAACTTTGTGCTTTATAAGGAACTTTAATATTTATCGCTTATATCCCGAGCGAATAAGTATATGTATATATCCGCCCCTTCCTTCCTCGGGGCCACCGCAGTCACGGGACTCGGTGGTCGCTCATGCTCGTGTTCATGCTCATGTTGAAGCATAGCCCGCAACTTCCTTCTCGTTCCTCTTTCGTCTCACGGTCCTTCGCTCGCGCCCCCTCCCCCCTCCCCGGTGATGTCGGATCATTATCGCGTAATTAGCACCGCCGATTTTCACGTTGCGTCATCGCGCACGCGACAGATGATTCCGATTCGACACTTCGCCCCGGGGCTCTCGTCGTCGAGATATCGGCGCGATACACAACGGTTCGCCGTACGGGGACGGTTTTCGTACCTTTTCCGTTCTTCTTTCGTGGAGAGAAGCGCGGATACAGGTAATCCGTCCGGGTGTTTGGGCGATAAGTATCGACGGGGATTTTCGACGGGAGAGACATCGGCGAGGAGAACGCTCGCGCCACCGTACGCCGAATTACGGCCCGGGAATGCCGTTTATTCGGGTCAGATTATTATCGTTTTAGCGCCGAGGCGAGCAGTAATGTGTAAAATGTGTCCGCCCGTGGAAATGGACGCTCCTTCGTCGTAATACGCAATCACCGCCGTGACCGGAGAACGCGACACACATTCAACGCGCCACTTGAAAACTATTAAGATAATTTCGAGCGATTCACGCGCGAGGAAGAAAGGTAAAAACGAGTATTTACGATCGATCGGTGACTCGCCGAAGCGGTCCAACGGAATGAATCGTCGCCACGATCGCCGGCCGATAACGGATTTCACGTCGAGTCGCGCGAGGGGTGAGTTTTTCTCCGACATCCGCGAAGGAAGTTCGAACGTTTATGAAGGTCGACATTGAGTTACGGCGAGCGCGTAACGATACGAGCAGGTACGCATAGGCGCATAATAAGGCGCGAGGCGGATCGCTCTAATTGGCAAGAAACCCGGCCTCGGATAATTTATTTATTCAAGCGGGGCGCACACAATTACACGCGGAAACGTCCGTCACGGCGGCCGGTCCCCGCGAGAGAGCGAGAGAAAAGTGGACCGCGTATATATGTACCTGTTGATTTTTATTGCTGCTGGCCCGCCGCTGGTGCTCCTCAGCTTCCGAGTGGCATCCGCTCACCTCCTCGAGGACCTGCACTCCTCGAGACCGGCTTCGTTACGACACGCTGGTGTCCCGCTTTCCCGGTGGTGCGTTCCTCCTCTTCTTCTTGAAGTCGCGTCAGTGCGCCGACATTGTACAACGTCACGTTGCACCTCGCGCAACGTCCTGCGGAGACGATTTCGCGCGCGCCTCGACTCGCGCAGGAAGTGACTTCGCTTTCACGGCAATGAGACGTGGATGTGACACGAAAGCCGGAAAGACAGAAGGAACGACGGAGGGAGGGAGACACGCGAATGACTATATAATAGTACACCTACGGAGACACGTCAGATGCCGAGAGGAAGGTTTCTGCCACCACCTTCCGCTGACGTCGAGCCCGCCCGACGATCTGCTCTCTTTATCTCGCTGCTTCCTCTGTTTTATTCCGCTCCAAACGTGCGCGCTCGTCGTCGCCTGTCAACGCTCCTCTCGACGAAGTCGCCGAGCGTATGTCTCCCCTTCTCTCTATTATTAAAGACTTGTCGCATCGAGTACACGTTGATCCTTTCCCGGTCAACGTTCGCGACCCGATCGTCTCGAGAGTCCTCGGCAGGTTGAGCTCTCTCGTCGACCGAACTTGCACGCGATTATTTCGTTCGTCCGTAACGAAGAAGTCTCGACTCCGATTATCAAATCATCGACGGTGTCGCGCGTTCCACTTGCACCGAGAGACCGGCTCACTGGTAACCACGCGTTCAACTTCCGACTGTTCTTCCCGCCGCCGCCTCGAATTATCCGCACT